TGGTATAACAACTGCCTGAATAGACGAAACACTTCTCAACGTTTTGACCTGCGGCTGGTTGTTCAAAAGCTGGTTAAGCTAACCCTGGGTTAAAGCAAATCTTTGCATCGATTTTTTAAACCGCTTGTTTACAAAGTTGAATATCTTTTTTCATAAATATTTTCTGGATCGATAGAAGTCATATTTTCTAAGATTTTAAAACGAACAGTGGTTCAGAAGCACATAAACGAAAATATACTGGATTAAAATTTAACCCAGGGTTAGCACTAACCTAGCTTTGAACAACTGGCCCCTGAGGTTCCTTTAAAATTATAATTGCCTTGCAAGTTGCAAAGGAAATGGCATAGTGTAACACCACCTTAAACTTGCTGTCGAAGGCTTAAGTGCAGATCATACAAGCACTAATTCATAGGTGTGCCAAACTAAAGATTTTGGAAACATCAGACAAATGAATTTCAGGCAAAAATTTCAATATTGAGTACAATTGAGTATATTGAGTCCAACATATAATGGTCTCTGGGGGGTAGCCCCATCCCCTGCCTTGTATGCTTATGCTGCAGTTTATTTTAAACCTGATTGGTAACCTGGCTAATTGGAGACCAACTATGTCCCTTGCCACCTAACCATTCTGTATGGTAAGCATTTTGTTATAAAATAAATACATGTGATAGTTCTACAAACTGATGATTTTACACATCAGTGGAAGAGTACTGTCAGTTATTAAGTTAACAAAACTATCTGTCAGTGTTTCTTGTTAACCCATTAGCTTGCAATGCACCCAGATGTGACCTACTTTAGTATTTTACTCTGTCTAATGTCAGATGATTTTACTCATCAGTGGAAGAGTTCTGTCAGTTAATGAGTTAACAAAACTATCTGTCAGTGTCTCTTGTTAACCCATTAGCTTGCAATGCACCCAGATGTGACCTACTTTAGTATTTTACTCTGTCTAATGTCAGATGATTTTACTCATCAGTGGAAGAGTTCTGTCAGTTAATGAGTTAACAAAACTATCTGTCAGTGTCTCTTGTTAACCCATTAGCTTGCAATGCACCCAGATGTGGCCTACTTTAGTATTTTACTCTGTCTAATACCAGATGATTTTACTCATCAGTGGAAGAGTACTGTCAGTGTCAACTATGAATGGTTTTCACTAGCTGCTAAATAAAAGGCAGGCATAATATTCAGTAGAGATTTCTGATTTTCTGTTGAGAAAACTACCCACATTGCTTTCTGGTTGCATGTGTCGTAAATTAAATACTTGCAATACATTCAACTTGCCGTATGTTTAGAAATTCATTGCTGTGTCAACAGGCCCTTCAAATAATTCCTATAATCTTTTGATGTCTATTAAATGTATTTATAATAATAGTCACAGAAGGCAAGTGATTACAAGCCTATATATGGCTTGTAATCACCGAGCCTTACTGTATATACATATAATACATATTGGAGCCAGTCCTAGAAGTTAGCCACGTGCACATTAACAATTTTCGTCTTAGCTCTTCGCCGAGATGAAAATCTTTTACACAAATAAATAAAGCAAAATAAGTGTGAATACAAACAAACATTTACGATCTTGCTTTTAGAAGCTTCGCGATTCTCGCCGAACTCATGGCAATAAAGTATATGTTTTCGGAAATTTCTTAGGATTTATAATTTCCTAGGAAATATGGCCTGACGGGGCCAAATTTTGGGGGGCCAAATTTCCTGGGACACCTGCTCCCATATAAACAGCCCCTAAGTCGGTCGACCATTCGCGGGGAGTCGACCAAGTTCAAGCCTCAATTTAAGATAGAATATAACATTTACCTCTGAGATTTTTCAGAAACCACTAGATCTTTACTTCTTCTGTAACTGCATTTATATTTTTTTGATTTATTTCGCAACGAATGCAAAAATTTTAGCCAAATTTTTTCTGAAATGCGATGAGAAAATAGAGCGATCTCATTGGTCGAGAGCTCACGTGACAACTTGCTAATTGCTTGGTTAAAATGCTATTTTTGTACAAAAATGGCATTTTATACACAGATGAGCTATATACTCAGCTATATAGCTAATGCATCAAACACAGATGAGCTATATATCTATAAAGTAGATGATGAGATAAACCTCATTAAGCTTCATTAGCATCTGGTTATCTAACGTTTGAATTGCATTCGACGCGACCAAAACGCGACGCATAACCAAGCAGCACACTCCGAAATTATATTAAACCCCGTTTTTACACGATTTCGTAAATCACTGCTCATATTTTGACTCCTTCCGAAGAGGCGATATAAAAAGGCAGTGAAAATTTAGAACAACCAAAAGATTGATTGTTCTAACCAATAAATCTGAGGTTACCAATTTTAGATTTTTACTGTTTTGACAGTGAATGCTTATATCAACCAGAATGCAAAATTGAAAGTCATGTTAATTTGTTTCAGCCATATTGAACACGAGGCAGTGATGGTTGAGGGATATAGCGAACGTCGGTTTCAAGAAACAGTAAGAGCGGAGTTGATGTGTAATATCTGTTTTGGTGTGTTGAGAAACCCCAGGTTATGCGAAGCAGAAGAACATCAATTTTGTTTAGGCTGCATAACCAGATGTTTGGCCGAATCAAACAACTGCCCAGTTTGTCAGACCCGACTTACTGTGGCAACGCTGAAACCTCTTGGCCGTTTCTGGTTGAGAGCTTGGTCAGAGCTTAGAATCAACTGTGAATACTACAATCAAGGCTGTCCTGAACAAATTCCGCTTGGAAGTTTGCACGTCCACGTGGATTGTTGTCCTTTCCGTCCGTGTGAAAAATGTGGCGCGCAAACAATTGATGAAGATGGTAGCAACGTCCACGACCAAGATATCTGTGAGTTTGGTACCACTGTTAGGGAGAATTTTCGAGATGTCAAAATCATTGAAGAAAAATTGGAAGATGAGTTTGCTTCTCACAATCGAAAAGGAAGAAAATTCGATGAGAAAATAGAGGAATTAGAAAAAAAATTGGAGAGGTACTTTTTTTTTTCTTTTCACTTTCATGTCACATATGAACTGATTTTATAAAAATATGACAAACGCCATGTTGTTGTATTTCAACTTTCAAACCTTTACGTTTTGTAAACCAGCAAAGCTAATGAACATTTAGAAGCTTGTTGGCTTGAGCCATAGTTTCAACGTATTAGTAATAAGGTATTAGTTTATTTTTTTAAATTGTTTTAGCACACCTCTCATGAAATTAGCATGATGTTCACTGACAAAGGGATCTTGTGTAGGGGAATAATTTTTGTGTCCCGGGTATTACCTATGGATTACTTTTCCACCCGGCGACTGAGTCACAAAGCAAAGATAACAGTCGATATTGAGCGTAAGGAATTTAGTCCCGAAAGGTTTGCACATTCATTTTTCGCACGTTGTAAGGGGATGTAACAATAATTCACAAATATTCCTGAGTTTGTTATGAGCAGAAAATATGCTTTAACGGACTTGGTGCCGTGTGAGAAAATTGGAAAATTAAACGAGACTTACCTGTAAGTTGAAGTTGGATTGAAATTCTGTCACATGGCTGGGAGGCGAGGGAGATCACATGGATCTCCCTCGCCTCCCAGCCATGTGACAGAATTTCAATCCAACTTCAACTTACAGGTAAGTCTCGTTTAATTTTCCAATTCTGTCACATGACTGGAGGCTTCAGGAGATCCCATGAGACTTTAAAGCTCTGACACATCCACCAAATCACCATGTTGCCACATATATATGATGGAGAATATCAAGTTTTATAACATACATTAAATATCTCAATAGATATTTTCAATCCATAGCACTATGGTCAACAATTGTAACTAATAAGTAACTAGTCTGCCTATGCTGATAAAAGAGAACCCAACAACAAACCAATTTCAAAAGCTGTGACTTATAGTTCAAGCTATGATTTTAGTACTGTGTCTGCCAAGCAGACCTTATCTAGAATTGGTTTATGGTAGAACTTGTGAAAAGTATTGGCTGATGCCCATCCGGCTGTAGACAGAATTACATCTAAGGGTATGTCCCTCTCTTTTGCCTTTGAAGATACAGCTGCTCTGGTACTGTGACTGGTAAATTGACTTGTATCTATGCCAGCAGCTGCCATCACATTTTTTGTCCACCTTGATATGGTATCTCTTGAAACACTTTTATGTGGTCTGATGAAACTTATAAATAACTTTGTCTCTGTGTTCCTCAAGGGTTCTGTTCTCTTAAGATAAGCTTTCAGCACAGTTAATGGGCAAAGAGTTTTGTCAGTTAGGAAAGGCTTGATTTCTATTGGTTTTGTGTTATTATTTGGTCTGCTGGTCTTTATATGTTCCAAAATTTGAAATGTACATGAGTTGGGTCTCAAAGTCATACCATCTAGGCTTAGTAAGTAAATAGATTGTCCTCGTTGTCCAGTAGCTAGTAGCAATAGCATAACTAGCTTTAACGTGAGTTCTTTCAACGTGATCTGCTCAAGTGGTTCTATGGTCTTGAGATAGTCCAACACAACATTTACGTTCCAAATGTACTTATATTTTGGTTCTGGTTTTGTAATCTCATATAATCCCTTGAAGAACCTTGTAACCAGTGGGTGCGATCCAAATTTTTCTTGACCAACATGTATTATTGTCGACAAAGCAGACCTGGCAGTGTTTATAGAGTAATAGCTCAGTCCTTGCTTGTGTAGGCTATTTAAGAATTCAAGTGCCTGACTTATCTTTGGGCTACTATTATCAATTTTCCTTTCACTGCAAAATGCCAGCCATTTTTCGACATAGGTCTTGTATTGGGCTTGTGTTCCTTTTCTCCATGATGCCATAAGGATGTTGGTAATTTCTGCTGAAAGGCTTTGCTGTGTGAAGGTGTTCCTGATAAAGGACAGACCATTAGTCGTAGGCTCTTGTGTAGTGGGTGTGGTTCCTTGATGTGGGCATGGATCAATAATTGTGGTGCTGGGCCTATGATCCATGGTTGGCTGTATAGCAGTTGTAGAACTTGAGGGAACCACGGTTGTGTTGGCCAAACTGGTATTAATAATATTCCTTTTGCTTTGTCTTGGTTTATTTTCTGCAGACACTTTGGGATCAAACTGAAAGGTGGAAAAGCAAAGAAGTTCAGTGTACTCCAGCTTATTGTAAAGGCATCTACATATGTACATCCTGGGTCAGGTTTCCAGGAGCAGTAGACAGGTAATTGATTATTAAGTCTGCTAGCAAAAAGGTCAATGGCCAATTCTGGAAATGATCTAGCAATCTCCTGGAATTGGAATTTGTTCAAAGCCCACTCATGTTTGTCTGAAAATTTCCTGGATCTGTGGTCTGCAGTTGTGTTAAGTTTGCCAGCAATGTGTACTGCAGACACCCAAATGTTCTTATTTATGCACCAGTTCCACATTTCTTTTGCTAATTCATTTAATTGATGTGATGTGCTCCCACCCATGTGTATAATGTATGCAACTGCTGTTGTGTTGTCTATTTGTAACTGCACATGGATCTTTTTTGACAGTTTGCAAAAAGCTTGGAGCACAAAGAAGGCAGCCTTCAGTTCTAAAACGTTTATATGGCTTGTGGCCTCACTATCTGTCCACCTTCCTCCAGTGCTTTGGTTACCAAGGGCTGCCCCCCACCCTTTTTTTGAGGCGTCAGTTTGTATGACGATATTGGGGTTTGGATGCAGTATCTCTCTGTTTACATGTGTCATGTTGTCTATCCACCACCGCAGTTCAGCTTTGGAGGCGTCGCCCAGCTGCATTTGTGATTTGTAATCACCCTTGTTTTGGGCAAGTGCTTCTGTTTTGTCATGTTCTAAGCTGCGATAATGTAGGAGACCATATTGTGCCCCAGGGAAGTTGGAGACAATAGTTCCTATAACTTCTGCTACTTCTGATATTCTTGCATACTGTTTATTATGCAGTTTACCACAGATTTTTATAGTTTTATGTATTTTTCCCTTGATAGGGGATACAGTCATGTTAGTAGAGTCAAGAAGGAATCCCAAGAAAGTAAGTCTCTGTGTGGGATTAATGACTGATTTTGTTGGATGCAAATGAAAGTTCAACTTCCTAAACAGGGATATTGTGTTTTCTATATTCTCACAACATTCATTATGTGTATCTCCTTGTAAATAGGAATCATCTATATATCCCATGTTCAGGTAACCTTTGCTATGTAATGTTTCATAGACTGGTTTAAGGAGCTTAGTAAATATCCTTGGTGCACAGCTTAAGCCATTCGGTAGGCATGTGAATTGGTACAGTTGTTTTTGAAATACAAATTTAAGAAATTTTTGATGCTCTGTGCATATGGGTACACTATAGTATGCATCTTTCAGGTCTATTGATGCCATGAAGCAACCAGGCTTCATCATTCGTATAGTTGTTTCTAGTGTATCCATCTTGAAATGATGGTATTCAACATACTCATTGAATTTTTTCAAATTAAGTATCATGCGGTGTGTGCCATCTGGTTTAGCCCGCAAAAATATAGGAGAGATAAATTCCCCTGGTTCATTTGAAGAAGGTACAATAACTCCCTTTTGTAGGAGGTTTTCAATTTCATTAGCAATTATCACCTCTTGTGTACAGTTAAAATTACTAGGTCGTGTACTTTCCTGTTGTGGCCTTTGCCCTAGGCAAAATTTTATTCTCACACCCCTTACAAATTCTATGATAATGGGATCAGAAGTGAGTTTTTGCCATTCGCACAATGCATGGGCAATTTGCCCTGCAACAAATTTTGGTTGGTTGTCAAGTAACTTTTGAATTGTATTAGTTCTTGCAATTTCATTGCTTACCATTTCTTCCTGTGCGGTATGTACATGAGATTCTACTTGTGGTCGCCCTCCTTTTTGAATTTTGATCTTGGGTTTCGGCCTTTGGACAAAAAATCATTCCGTGGCCTTGCGTATGGTTGAAACCTTCGGCTGCTCTGGTATCCCTGCATACGCGAGCCGCCGGACTGAAACTTTCTATGACCTCCATGACCTCTTGATGAGGGCGGCCGCACTCTTTTTGCGAGTTTATTTGCATCTGATATATCTTTAGTGAGCTTTGATAAATCTCCAAACAGGTATTCTGATGCAGCAGGGACGGTTGTCGAGGTACAAAGCGCCGAGTAGTCTCTGTGAAGGTCTTTTTTCATCGCTTGGCGTCTCGATGTGTTTATGTCATCAAAGCATTGTGTTGCTAGTGTAATAGCATCCGTTAGTATTGTCACCACCTTTTTGTCATTATCTCTGGTAGTTTCATCACCGTTTTCGATGACTAAATTAGTCGCTTTCATCATAGCAACTGTGGATGCAACAAGGGCGTTTTGTGTCTTTTGCGATTTTGAGTCGCTCGTGCGAACTTGTGCGGGAATTTGGTTCCATATCAAAGGATTCACCCGGGGCGTTCGCAAACCCTCGACATTTCCTGGGCGTGGATACTTGTCCACTCTTACTTGAATTTTGTCCTCTTGTAGTTTGTCTTTGAGGAGTCCCTCCATAAGTTGAACGAGCTCCTCGTCAACATCTGCACCTGTTTTCTCAGTGATGTCTAGCTCCTGGACAACTTCCGTGAGCAAGTTCTTACTCAAGGTTTTAGTCTTAATTAGTGTGTCGCTTTTGCTGCTTTCGTCAGCAGCTTTATCGCGAGGAGTTTCCCCGTCGCTTTCGCTCAAGTTAATTTCACTGTCGGAGGGGTTGTTTATCAGCGTATTCACCGTCTGTTTGAGGTCTTTAACCTCCTTCATCATTGACACAAACATTTCCTTCATTTCTTGCACATCATGTGTGCTTTCGATTTGTGGTTCGGGTTCTCTGTGCCCGCCATTTGCACAACGACGGTGTCGTTAAATCGGCTTCAACTGCGTTGAGCCTGAAGTTTTTTACTCAATCTCACCAACAGCGTTGGCGTTATAGTTTTTCTTTTTGTATTCTAATATTAATTAGTTCGCAACTACGTTGGAACCTATAATAAATTTGAATATCTTCTCTGGTTTTGCTCTGACTTGCTTCTTTTGCAAAACTACGCGCGCAATGACTTGCGCATGCTCCGTGCTATCTCATGGGATCTCCTGAAGCCTCCAGTCATGTGACAGAATTAAATTCTAAACCTCTAGATCGTTTGAAACTGCCTTATGCATGACTAGCCTATGTTCGTAAATACTTCAGCAATTGTTACAATAACAAAGCAATTTCAAGCTCGGTGACTACAGGCCTATATTTACACGCCTTCGGCTCAGTGACTATAGGCTTGTAATCACCTCCCCTTCGGCGACTAATTGTTGAATAGATACACGGAAAATGTTTTCTATTTCTTATTAAATGTAAAGCTTTTGTGACTAAATTCCTTATATATATATATATATATATATATATATATATAATATATTATATATATATATATATATATATAGTCGTTGTCAAAAAGGTTGTCCTGAGCAAGTATATGTATATATCGATCACGTGACATTATTATGCATCAACACGCGTGGGATTGTACAAGCGTGTTAATTGCGAGTTCGTGTATAGCAAGGTGAACGATTAGAAAATGCCAAGACAATATTCGGATGATTGAAGGTGGAGAATGGTTTATCAACGGCTGTTCTACGAAAGAATCATCGACGAAATTGCAGCACAGCTATTTGTTTTTTCAAAAACCTATCTATCGTACTCTCAGCACCTTTTGGAACACAGGTGATGTGAAGCCTTGCCGTATGGGTCGCCTAACAGCGAGCGTATCTTTAATCCCACACGAAGAATATATTATCATGGACTGTTTACTGCGAACGCCGCAAATACAGTTGAATGAGATAGCAAGCTATATCATTAATGCTACTGGCTCTGCATTTGGCCAGGAGACACTGTGCCGAGCTCTCTATAGGCTTGGAATAACACGCAAAAAGGTACGAACATTATGACATTATTTAAGTTGGAATATATACTTAATATACCGCACGCTGGAAATCATAATTATAACTATATTTATAAGACGCAAGCCATTCCACCTTTTTCCAATTTATTACAAGATTCTAGTTGTTCTTTATCAACTCTTCAAGCCAGATTTTCTTTTTCAGATGCAGGGAATTGCCCTTCAGCGAAGAAACGATATTAGGCTACAATTCATGGCCGAAATCCGCCTTTTTGACCCAAACCTGCTCGTTTTCCTCGATGAAACAGGCATTGTATGTACTAAATAATACCTTACTGTAATTGGATTGCACAAACTAGTAGATCTCTTATTTATTTGGTTCTACGCTTTAAGGATAAACGAATTGCTCGGCAATATGGATATAGTGCTTGTGGGATACCGCCTGTTAAGAGCGACTATAGCTATGCACGGTGGACACCGCGCTTTTCCATTATTTCGACAATATCGTGTGATGGACTTCTTGCGAACTGTTTGTTGAAGAATCCCGAAGAAAGATTTGAAACACGCTCCTTTATCAATTTTCTTGATGAACAGCTTTTGCCAGCTATGAATCGATTTGATGGGGAAAACCCGCGATCCGTTCTCGTTATGGGTGAAATTTGAATATAATTAATGCAAATTCGCTGTTCCAACATATGTCTCAAGGGATGACTGAATTTGTGATCATGTTTTGATCTATTAATATCTGTTTAAACAAAACTTGTTGATGCACAAAGATGCAACTGTTAAAACTAGTAATATGCATATTTTTTAACAGATAACCACCCAACACATGTACAAGAAGTTGTAGAACGAGTGTACGACAGACCTGATATGAATCCTATTGAAGAGGTTTAAATATAGCTTGCTATCTCATTCAACTGTATTTGCGGCGTAAACAGTCCATGATAATATATTCTTCGTGTGGGAATAAAGATACGCTCGCTGTTGGGCGACCCATACGGCAAGGCTTCACATCACCCGTGTTCCAAAAGGTGCTGAGAGTACGATAGACGGTTTTTGAACAAACAAATAGCTGTACTGAAATTTCGTCGATGATTCTTTCCTAGAACAGTCGTTGATAAACTACTGTCCACCTTCAATCATCGGAATATGGTCTTGGCATTTTCTAATCGTTCACCTTGCTATACTCAAACTCGCAATTAACACGCTTGTACAATCCCACGCGTGTTGATGCATAATAATGTCACGTGACCGATATATACATATACTTGCTCAGGACAACCTTTTTGACAACGACAGTATATATATATGTATATATATATATATATATATATATATATATATATATATATATATATATATATATATATATATATATCACCGGTCACCGGAATTCGCATTCTCTGAATTTCAGGCTCAACTAGACGGGACACCTTGGCTGATATTGTCCTACCAAACGACAACCAAGATATTGTGGTCAGTTGTGAATTGGGTTTTTTTACATGATACCGTAATATCATGTAATTAAAATATTACATAATATTATGTAAACCTGTAGAATAATATATACTCAATGATCCTTAGTAACCTTAGTTAACCTTACATGCATGAGTAAGGAAATAGAAAAGAAACGTAACCGACATAACTTGGTTTGGGGCTAACCATTGTTGTTGTTTACTTGCTTATTCACGCTGTATTGCGTAGGGGAAACATGTCATAGTTTTATTGTTTCTTCTCCTAGCAAACCATATAAAAGTCAGAGCACAACTCTTGAAGGCATGCATTATACATAAGGCAATAGACTGAATAGTATCATTGCTTTAAAAACGAAATGAAAGAAGTAACGTAAAAAGAACCACAAACCAAAAGAAAAGAGAGAACCATTACGATAGAAAGAATTGTCAAGATATCGAGAGTTGTGCTCGGACAGATAAGTTGAACTGTTTAAGTCATATTAAGTAGTATTATATATCAAAAGTTATAAAGACGTTAATTGTTTAACTATAAGTATAGTGTCATAGAATAAATAATTGAAAAGTAATCGGTTTCACGATCTTTGTTGCGAGTGAATTGAGCCAAAAGCGCAGCCATTAGTAATTAAAAGAACCGGCTCGTAACAGTTTCTAGAAGGGTGAAATTGAGCAAGCTAATATAAACCGTACATGATGTAAACTGCTGATGTAACAACAACTATTAACAGATTTTAGTACATGTAATGATATGCCTTATATATGTGATTCTACCTCCTTCGCAGGCGCTAGGGAGCATTTCGGGAAATACCCGCAAAATATCACCGCCTGTCGTATTTGCCTGTCGAAAAGGGCCTGCGAAGGAGGTAGTGTGATTAATATCGTGTAGCAAACTCTCAATAGTCTATATCTACAGGATATTGTTAAAAACATTGTTTCACGTTATATCCAATGATCAGGGGCGTAACTAGAACGATAATTGGGTGGGGTGAATATTCATATATTCAGTTTGCCCGACGGAAGCTATTGCAATTACAAAAGAAATCCGTAGGGCAGAACTGGATATATGAATATTCACCGCCCCAATTATCGTTCTAGTTACGGCCCTGCCAATGATGACACTTGCACTTGCAATGGTGCATCCGCAGCAACTTATTCTTTCGTATATTTCCTTTAGATACTGATTGTTTTCACAGTCTATGAGCACTGAAATATTACCATTTTGATGACTAAAAGTCAGGCTGGCTTCGTTTTTTCTCGGTCATGTCATAATGTAAATCATGGATATTCATCAATTATCATTACGTCATTGCTTGCAAATTGTTACATCAATTTTCGTCCAAGCGCAAACTGCGAACATTTTTTCGCGTTTTTTCAACTGTCAAACATGACGTTTAAGAAATTGAACGGGAGAGAATCAGGGGCGCCGTGGCCGGGGGGGCCAGGGGGGGCCATGGCCCCCCCCCAGGATTAAAACCTGTCGGAAATTTATGAACATTGCATGTTGTCGGAGTATATCAATCATAACAGAGACTAAGTTATTTTTGCATTTGTGGCTGTGTTATGCTGAACAACCCAAAAGTATTTGAACTATCAGAAAATAGACGCGGTTATTTCTAATATTATACGGTACGACACTACCCCAATTTTTTATTATACTGTTGTCGCGCAGGCTAAACTAGCTGTTTCGTCCGAACGTTTCCGGTTTCCGATAAACATATTTTCTATTAATATAACATTACGCAAGGAATGTAATTTTCGAAATGTCGGAGATTGGCGCGATAAAATCATGAATGGCGATGTATCTTCGACCGCATTTATTGTTCAGTGAGTTTATACAGTTTATTGCGTTATATGGTGACCGTCTAAAGAAACACCAGCATGTTCCGTGTCAGAATGCTGGAGCTACAGCAAATCCTTTTCAAGTTAGTACTTTTAGTTAAACGCTTCCTGAAGTTTATACAAAGATAAGGTACCACGATAGTACAGCGGAAGAACTAAACTGATGAGAGGATTGAAGCAATTGCTAATATGTTTATATTTTGGTTATAAACAAATGTTGCGTATATAGAATACGCTGTATGCTCATCCACTAAGATTACAAAGCTATAATAGAGTATCCTGAAATAACGTATCGCGTTATTTGTTAATGCACGTGGATTAGAAATCTCTGTAATACAGTTTTCCCACAAACAGTTAACTGTAACAAAAATTATTCAACTACTCAATTGAAAAGCGTATGTAAAACGTGAATATTTATCTGTCATATTCATTGTGCATGAAGCGTTAATTTAAATTAGTAGACATAGCTCGTGATCTTTGTCATAGCAACTACATGCGCGTCCTTGCCCAAAACCCCCTGTCAGTTTTATCAATATTCGTTACTTTTTTCTTATAAAGATGTCGGAAAAAAACGTGCTGGTCGGAATAATGTTGCCTTTGGCCACCCCTACATTAGCACACCCACGGCGCCCCTGGAGAGAACAGACTTTTCTCTTTTTGGCTTTCAAGCGCGCAATGCTGAACATTGCGAAATTACAACTCAATTTGACCTTGATAATCAACTACCGTCACGCATTGCGCACTTGAAAGCTAGGCTGTATAAAGAGGGCCATACATAGATATTAGTGAGTTTGGGAAATACAACGGCAACCTCATTATTGTTATGAGCAGAACCGATGCGCAGAAAGGACTTGACTTCCAGATGAGTGAAGAGCAGATTCGAGCAAATGACCTCGCCCAGTTGAAAGTATTCTCAGCTTGGCTAACAGCTCTGCCACTTGCTGATGAGGGCTACATCCTGACCAAGCGTGAGTTCTTTGATGCAATCTACATGCGTTATCGATGGCCTTTGAAACGCCTTCCATCTTTCTGCGCCTGTGGAAAGTCGTTCACGGTCGATCATGCCCTGTCGTGCCTGAAAGGAGGCTTTATCCATCGAAGACATGATGACATCCGTGATCTACTTGCTGCTGCTATCGATGACGTTGCTTACGATGTCTCAATTGAACCTGCCCTTGCTCCTTTGACTGGCGGGGTTCTTCCATCCAGTGCTAATTCAGCCGACGACGCCAGAGTGGACATTGCTGCGAGAGGTTTCTGGCAGAGATGTGAAAAGGCATTTTTTGATGTAAGGGTGTTTAACCCATACGCCTCTACACATCGACGCCAGACGTTGAGCAGCTCGTTTAAAGCCAACCGGAACGGGAAAAGAAGCGACATTACAACCAACGGATTGTAGAAGTCGAGCATGGCTCCTTCACACCGGTCGTCTTCACCGCCTTTGGCGGATGCGGAAGAGAGACCCAACATTTTCTCTCCTTCCTGGGTGCAAAGCTTGCTGACAAGAAGAATCAGTCTTCATCTATGGTCCATAGATGGTGGCTAGCTGGTTACGTTGAAAGATCGCCTTTGCTTTGCTTAGAGCTCGTGTGGTGTGTGTTCGTGGCAGTCGAAGTTGGAGGAATGTGTCCATCGCATCACTTAATGACATCACTTTGTCGGAATGGAAATCGAACATTAGGGAGTCTAGTTAAGTTGTTTTTGTAAATAGTATGTAGAATCGATTTTCGTTATTTTGCCTAGTACTAATAAACGTATATAAGTTTTTTATTTATAGCTCTCCTGTCATAGTCACAATGTCGGGTGCGGCCGTGCGGATACCTTTGATTAATTTGGCTTTATTTTGGCTTTTTTTGAGAAAAACAAGACGCCTGTTCTGGCGTTAACTCCGGCGCACGTGCCAGTCTTCAATATAGAGCTTCTGAACATAAACAATACAGTTCATATTCGCATTTAGATGCCTTGCGAACCTAAATGTTCGATCGCGAAATTCAGAAGCACATCGTACTTTAAAAAGTATAGAAGTTAAATCGTTCAAGAATGTAAATAAACGGCATGATACATTCACTTTGTTTTACACTTTGCCTTTGGAATTCGCGCTTATATAGTTATATTATATCTTCAATCCTGTGCAAACTATGACGAGTCAAAGCGCCCATACACGACCACATCATTTTGTTAAACGGCGAAATAGCAGCGATATTACTAAAATAGGACCAGAATCTACACGTATTAAATATATTCTTACCCCAATTCAGTCTAAACTTAATCGAAAAGCATGAAAACAACGGTTTATTTGTTCCTCTTGGAGGAATTGCCGTATCATGCGAGCGAAATCGAATCGCGCATCGGAAAATTAGCCAAAGCTGTGCACCACAACTCTTGGGAGACAAGACTGGGACATATATAAATGCAATCACATACACATTTTAAATACTAGAATGTTTCGCGCCATTACAGACTTCCGACGACGAAAAATAATAAAAAAAAACAAATAAAAAAAAACAAACCAAAACCGAGGCGAATTTTCAACTCCGTCGCTGACGCCGGAGTAATTAGTTTGCCCTTTTTTGGTAGCTTTTGGCCTTTTTCAAAACCGTATTTGGCCATGAGCATGCGCAAATTGCTAACAGTAAAGAGTGAACCGTGAAGACAGTGTTGAAGCAGAGCGGACCCGCCGTGAAAGAAGCCAGTTTCAGGTATGTCATACCGTATGTTAGCATTTAATTTGTCGAATTGTTATAGTACTGGGGCCGGTTGTATCAAGCCCGTTTAGCTTAAACGGTGGATAAGTCAAAATTAAATAACACTCTTACAACTCTCTTGAATGAGTCAACTTGAATATTATGCACTGAATATGTAGTTGTAAACAGTATCTTTATATTAACGTCAAACACATTTAATTCGCTTGTTGAATAAAACGGCAGACTTGCTTTCTGTTTTGAACTTAACCACCGTTTAAGCTAAACGGGCTTGATACAACCGGCCCCTGATGTGGAATAGTATGTATCTAATCGGACGATCTGAAATAGTATGTATCATCCATTGTATCAAAAAGGAACACACAAGCGTTACCGCGATCGCAGATTGTAGACATGAACTTCGACGGCCTTCAAACAAGTCTTAAAATGTAGACCGATCTAAGATAGGTGTTTACTTTTTACACATGTTGTCCATCAACATAGGTCGTTTGATTATAGTATAAATTTCGATATTTCAAGCGGGCTTCGAAGAATTTGTCTCAACAAGTGTGTTTACTGTAGTTAATATAAAGACAGTTTGTCAAATGTAGTGGCTCAATAGCAAACAGTTTTCAAATGTAGTACCCTCACTGAGGCTACATACAGTATTTTCAAAGCGAGTAGTTTTTACAGTAGTTTTTTGCTGCAGACAAATGTATAAAATATAAAATAAAGAATTGATACAACAGTGCTAACATTTCATAATTCAAAATTTCGTGTTTCAAATTCCCTAAATTCTAAATGTTATTTCCTTGAGTTTTCTTGTGATGATCAGAGGAGATGTTGTAACTAATGTAGTAGATTTGTACTCTTGTAGGAGAGGTTTTGACTAATTTTTTAGCACAATTAGGGACCCTAATAAGTATTTTACCCTTGTTCTAAAATATTTCTGTGTGCCCTTGTGCACTTGGTCTGGCTTTAGGGGCTGTTTACATGAGCCCGGTTACCCAAGATTCAACGAAGCGTGAGAGGACTTTGAGATATTGAAATAAGTCTTTATGACACCAAACAAGCACATGCTATAGTTGTGGTGATTATACGACTGCCAGGGATCATGTTAACTGCTCATTTCAATACCTCAAAATTATCTCGCGCTTCGTTGAATCTCGGGTAACCGGGCTCATGTAAACAGCCCTTTACGCCATGTTATTTGTGCAAGGTTTCATATGCAACTTGTCTGGCAAAGCTGTTGCAGGACAAATTGCATCAAGCATTGTGCAAAGTAATGTTCATGGGTTCATGTTTCTAAATTGGAGTTTTGCATCAAGCTCTAAAAATTCCCTGCGTGGCCCTGTGAATGTGTAAATAGCATTTTAGCTTTCTCTTACAAGAAATGTTCTCTGTAGCTTCATGGTTAGACCACTGCTTCACAACGGCAGAAGTTTAGGTTTGATTTCTGCTCAAAAAGTAAATTGGGCTTTTTCAACATTCCTTCCCGATGTATGATTCTGCCTTCATTCTTTTAAAAGATCCTCAACATTTACTTTATCATTCTGAATGCAACAAACAAGTACCTAATCCATTAGTGATACCAATATGTAAAAGTTCCATCCAGTCAGCTGCAAAATGTTAGGTGTATAATAGTGTAATAATTACTTTTAACTTGCATTGATTTCAGGTGCATTGACTTATATTACTCATGGCGGGATTCCAGGTGGGTTATGATCCAGATCGTTTCATTTCACCAGTTGATGAAGATTTCCTCTGTCAGATTTGTCGCTTTGTGTTGAATGATGTACGATTGTGTAAAGACGAACATTGTTTTTGTTTATGTTGTATATCACAACACCTTCAATTATCATCAACATGCCCAGTGTGTCGACAAATTCTCACTCCAGAAACTTTGAGATCTCCCCAAAGATTTATGAGGAATCTTTTATCAGAGCTGAGAATCAGGTGTAAATACATCAATCGAGGGTGTCCTGAAGTAACTGCACTTGGAAATCTACAAAATCACGAAAGTGTTTGTGAATACCGTCCAGTAACATGTGGAAACTGTCACCTTGAAGTAAATGCAAGAGATGCAGGCAACCACTCTTTTAATAAATGCCGAGGTTTTGTAAATCTTGAATCACATCAAGTAAAAGTGGATGATGATTTAATTTTTATCAGAGAAAAACTAAGAGAATTCAACTTGAAACAAAACGAACTGAAAGAAAATCACGATTTACAAAGGCAGGAAGTAAACGAAGTCAGCAAGTGCTGTAAAACTTACACGAATATGATTCAAGATGAAATGGCAGGAATGCACGAGGAAGTAAATAAAATTAAGGTAATTAACGAAAATTATTCTGCTGGTTATAATTCTTGTTCCATTTTTAACAAAGCTGATGATTTTCCACATTCTGGCAACTGGTGTGCACCACCTCCCCCGGTAACCGCGCTGGGTTTATCCCTGCCGAATAAAATCCATTTGTCATAGTTTAAAATTTATGCCCGCAAAAAGTGACACAAAGGTGAAATTCAGTCTGATACTCAGTCTAAAAACCAAACAAACTTGATAACAGAAGTACTGTAAGTATATTTTTAGTTTTTTCAAAATTTGCGGCTTTAGGTTGTATTTTCCCCTTACATATATCGTATGTTTATTACTTTTACCTAAATACTATATTTGGTTTCATCTATTTTTAATATAATTCATGTGTATGGTGTCATCTTGGAGAAATATTTTGACCTCTGTATATGGTAATTTAGGAAAACGTCAACGAATTGGGATCAATACAACATATATGCCGTGAAATGGCAGAAAAACATGATCGCTTTAAGGTGAGACGTCGCTTGTTTATGCTCACTATTAATAAATTAAATCTAAACCCCGTTTACATCTGCATCATCGACAATGGTTACTGGTACTGATAGTTTGATCGATAAATTGACCGCGCCCGAAGCAGTTCGGTATAGTGTAAAAACAGGGCCCTAAACATGGGCGTCATCGGCAGATGACAAACCCCTCCACAGGAATTGGGAATCTGACTTAAAATTCCAAGAACAGCAAAATATTTTATCACTCGAGGTGATTTTAAATACGAATTGTTAATTCTTACTACATAGCCATAGACGAAGACAAGAACATGTCAACCTTGAACAAGTACGATCGTACTATAGGGACCAGGAACTGCGTAACCGAGTTTAATTTCTGAACTGCATTGTATTTATAACAATGGAGAGGACAATGTATTTCTAATCGTTTCCGTTTACTTATATATAGGCTGAATATTAATGATATGCATATATTATTTGCTGCAAATATATCAAGAATTACTTGTAACTTGCTTCAAAGGTCAAAAGTAAAAATTCGAACTCCGTCAATCGATGCGGAATATTGCTTAGAATAATTGTGCCAAGTTTCATTCCGATCAAACAAGTAATGCTAGAGCCTTAGGGTTTTTTTTAAAGAGCGTCGCCCCCTAACAACAACAAGAAGATTAGCAGCGGTTAGGGACCAGTTCCTGGTCCAACAATAGACAATAAGTATATGATGCTACACAAACTATCGAATAATAATAGTACATACTTCTTCGTTTTGCACGCAAGTTCAAGCGCAAAAAGGCAATACCGCAGAGCGTTTTCCATGGAACAACCCAATTCATACATATGCCATTAGAAGAGATACACAAAATATGTTGATGGCCCGGTTTATACTAGAGACGGATCATCCGTCAGGACAAACTTGGGCAAGCAAAAGATAGTTCGTCTTCTAGTTCGTCTGTGTGTAAACACGGGCAAACAGACGGATCATCCGTCATTCCCCGTGCATTTTCTAAACGCGCGATTCTACGTAGTTCGGCTAGATAGTTTGTCTGTTTTTTATACTCAGGCGAATTATACCTGGCAGACGGATAATCCGTCCCTAATATAAATCGGGACAATTTCAAACTTCTGTTCGTGCATAACTCGCAAGAATGTACCCTGTGGAATGACCACAAGAATGACCACATCCTTTGACAATAATTTTGTCATTTTGTCTATACCGTTAGTGCTTACATTTTGACCCAAAAGGTTTTCCCTACACAATGGCGTAGCTAGCATCGATAATTGGGGGAGGGGGGCATATTCATATATTCATGTTAACAGACTGTAAAGACAATTGATTTGAAAGGAAATTAATCCTGCGTATCACGAATATATGAATATGGACCCCCCCCCCGTCACAATTAGAGGGCTTTAGATTTGACTACGGCTCCCGCAACGTCTACGATATTCGTCACTGTGGCGCGAAACAAACGTTGTATGCATATGGCACCTCGTGCTGGCATGATAAAACTCTGCAGACACAATGATAAATGCATGTTTATCCTGTCAAATATTTCGGAAATTTTACGCCTACTATTTCGAAAAATATACATTATCAAAGGCCACGGTCATGAAAAATAGTTTTCTCAAATTATTTTCTGGAAAAAACGAGAAAATGTCAACTTTTATTGCTTTTTAAATCACGTAGTGAGGACTACGAAGTTTTCTTAAAATGCCGTAGTCAGATAAGCGTGAATGTGACGAATCTCGTAGCGGTAGCGAGAGCCGTAGTCAAATCTAAAGCTCCCTTAGCTAAATTATCGTGTTGGCTACACCACTGTTCTTCTTTCAAACGGTTTGCTTTTTCATCCATGTTGTGTGTCACTATAGTGAGTAGTGATGCTTGACGCTTCTATAGTACAATTACTGCACTAAAACAAACTATGTGTGTATGCATGTTTTAACCATGAAACATGTCGTTTTATAAGTGTGAAAACTTCTTCAAGTGTGCTTTTCTCAGTTACTCGATTACATCCAATTTACTGGTCATCTACTTGCATGGGGCTCTTGGTAGCCCAAAGACTTTTGTTTTCTACCATCCATTTCAAATGTTGAATTTGTCCACCATTTAACTTTAAAAAAAATCCTCCGGGTGGTACCTGCGTACCTGCATGTAGCCATTTTGTAACCCTGCCTCGTCTTTACCTATTGAAAGTGTACTTTATGATTTGCTCTGCATAATTGTATCTTGTCTTCGTTGATTATATCGTTGGTTAAAATGTTCATATTGTAATTTACAAATCTCAGGATGAGTTGAAAGATCAGATCTGTGAAATGGCAAGAAGACAAGATCAAATGGAGGTAAGACGAGATAAAATGTTTGTAATTTTTTGAAGTATATACGAAGACGTTATGTACAGCTGAAAACTTCTCTTCCGCCATCTTCTTGGGAGTAGATTAAAACAAAATAGGCAGCAGCATTTTTGAGATAGTTACCACTATTTTAAAACTAAATTTATGCTGACTGATTGTGACGGAAAAGTACCGATTGTCTAGCGCATTGATAGAGGTACTCCTCTGATTAATTAAATACAGAATATTTTGGGAAAATGCCCAAAGTTTTCAGTCGTTGAAGATGCCGTTTAGAATGGTGATTTTGGTGTGATTCATTTTCCGTTGGTATGAATGAAAGTTTTCAGAGTACAGGCGATTGTTTTAACTCTCTTTCTTTGTTAAATATTATTTAGGAACGTTTGTACAGTATGAATCAAATCCAAACAAATATAAGCTGCAAAGTAGATAAAATAGAGGTAAGAAAATATTGTGGTAATATTTGAAAAACTTCTGATTACATTCTCTATTGAAGCATGTGGGCAACCTTTTTGATGATGCGTCAAAATCATTGAACTGAAAAGATCTGGAATGCTACCTCCGGATATTCGAAGCTAAATCCTTAAACGTCTTGCGTTTAATACGCAACAAAAAACGCGGTCTTTTTCACCTGTCGTAAAACAAAATCAACATACAAGCACTAAAAACACCTTCGATGTAAAGTGCATTTCCCGCCGGAAATTAAAGGGGGGAAATTCATAAGTTAGTCGTTTGTTCTTAACAATGATTTTACGAGGTCCAAACTTTCTAGTTTGAACTTTTCTGTGTGTACATAGTTGCTCAGTGTCTTTATATAGGTTGAAGACAGGGCGGTTCTTGTTTGCCTGCTGTACTATGAATAGTGTAGACCGGAACTGGTCCTCCTGTTCTACCACTGCATGGATTCACTGCTCCTTTTGAAACAGGTTCGGCTATAACAATTGAAAGCAGGATGTTTTGTTCCAAGGATTTGGCTTTTGTTAGTCGTTTGCGCCATTGATGAGGTTGCGATGTCAGGGGAATTCGATAACCCTTTGCGGCGTCCAAGACCGACTTGTCTGAAGTTATTATTTCCTAATTTTCTATGAAATGTTATAGCCGACCTGCTGTCTAATTCTCGTCCAAATTAATCTCCCCTTTAATTCCCGGAACCCTATATAATTCAGTATGCGAGCAGGCTACATATTTATGACCAAAGGACTGGTTTTAAACGCAATCATCGACGGAAATATATAAGGAATTAAATTGAACGTCAAGTCATAGGCGGCCCAATGGCGAGTGGTATATTTGAAATAAAAATGCACTCAATTTAACGACATTTGTATGTACATATATATGTATATATAATGCTACCTGGTTATATTGACTTCCACTTTTTAATTTTAGTCGATGATGGTTCAACATCAGGAGTTGATGAGTGCAGGAGATCGTGAAAAACAGACGAGAAATGACGCTCAAAACAATGCTCAAGTGATGGATTTCATTCCCATTTTAGAAGCATGACATTCCACCTTGAGTTCTTTTTACTTCCACATTTTCAGTCCTCTCCAGCTTACGTGAGTAATTTTCGAATGCCATACTATGTGAAGGAACTAAAACGATAATTGGAGGGGGTTGTTTATTCGTATAGTTCAGTTCTGCCCGACGAATTTCTTTGTAAGAACTGAATATATTAATACCCCCCCCCCCCAAATTATCGTCCTAGTATCGGTCGTGGTGAGAAAAAGTATTGTTGACAAGACTAAGTGCAGTTGACAACCCAAATGTTGACATCATCTTCGTGAAGTATCAATATGGATGTGTTACAAAAATGAGATCCTTATTATTACAAGCTATCCTGGCGGTGGGTGAAGATCGAACTGACCAGAGAGACGAAATAATAATACCTTTTGGGTTTATAATATTCAGATTTTATTTCTTCTTGTTTCATATGATTATATAATGGGGTGGATGCGCATCCCCTCCCCTAGCCTAGTACAGGAGATGTGCGGAGGAATTAAAATTTTGGGGGGGTTCACTTAATAACTAAATATCTAAAACTTGGGTAGTGGTGGATTCAGGGTAAGTCAAAATAAAAGACACAGCCTAATTTCAAATTCAAAATACCTTAATAACAGCGCCATTTGGTTATTCATTTCTAAGAATTCGTTTATTAATAGTCTAAGTTGGAGCTCTAGCAATTTGTTTTGACTTACCTTGGATTTGCCACTAAACTGGGGGTAAAACTTGTTGCTGTTGTTGTTACAATGGAAGTGTTGATTAGAATAAATACCCGATCTTGATTAATAAATTTATTTGGAAGAATGATCAACTTGATCTGTATGTTTGAATCAACCAATGACTATTCGTTTCTATGACTGTTGACCAATCAGGAACAAGTTTACCAGGGATCGAGCTGTTAATGACCTTTAGGTAATGAATTGGTATAAGATCGAGAGTTCCTTCTATTCTAACTTCAGGAAAGGGTAAAATAATTTATATAGCATCAAATGTGGTATAACAACTGCCAAAATAGACAAAACACTTCTCGACGTTTCGACCTGAGGGCCTTCGTCAGGAGAGTTAGTATGAAATACTAATACAACTCTTACTAACTCTCCTGACGAAGACCCTCAGGTGGAAACGTCGAGAAGTGTTTTGTCTATTTTGGCAGTTGTTATACCGCATTTGATGCTAAGTTGTTTGAAGACGCTGCCACGCTGCTCCTTGGTTATATTGTAAAATAATTTATAATAGCATGCCCTTGTTATCAAAAATACATCTGATCCTTGTCTCCTTGAGGATTTCACTAAGTATATAGGGTAATTGATTGAAGAGGTTCCATGCATTGGCAACCGATTGAATTGTCAATTGAGTTTCCGTTTTTTGCGGAAATCTTCCAATGGGAAGGTGATATATCAATATCGTGAAATTGATCAAATTCGCAAATACATCTTGCAGATTAACGATTTTTCTGTGTTAAATATGGGTGAAAATAAAAGTATTGGTTCGGCCTAATTTCAAATTTAACACAAATGCCTACGCTGACAATCCAAAATAACAACGCTATTGGTTATGCATCGACCGAAATGGAATTCCCATTTTTGCAGAAAACTACCCATGGGAAGGTGAGTGTAAATATCGTGAAATTGATCGTAGTTATATTATTATTATTATTATTATTACAAGTTTATATAGCGCTTATAACACATAGATCTAAGCGCTTTACAATAGTCAGTCTAAAAATTTACAATAAAAATATGACAAACTAAAATTATTTATATACATCTATAAATCATAAGCTATTTTAAACATGTGAGTCTTGAGTTCACTCTCAAGTTCGCAAATACATCTTGTTGATTATAAAAGCATTACATCTCGCTAAATATAGGTGAAAATGGAATTATTGCTTCAACAAATATTGTTGGTCGCTTTTTGGCACGGTCGGACCGTGTTGGTAGCTGAAAGTATCAGGCAAAGTATCAAAGTATCAGGCTACATATCAGGCTACATTTTCCGCATTTTACAATATTTCGGAAGCAAACTTTGTATTTCTACTATTCATTAAATTTCCTTGTATAGATAGAAAAGTAGTCTATAATATCTATTTTATATTTGTTGTTTTTACAATCTGTTTTACAGAATATCTCACCAGCTCCTTTTTTAGCAAGCAGGCCGAGATGGAAGTAAGTTATAGTGTCGTTTTACACTGCTCTGAGCACCTTGTTCAATGGGTTCCTGACGATGTTTGAAAAGGAAAATCGCTTCGTCGAAGCTCAATTTAAAAAGGTAAGATAAAAAGTTGGAAGTGGTGGAGAAAGCACTATAATTGGGGGGGAGGACAATATTCATGGCCTGCCCAACTGCACTATTCTGCACATACGTTTTGTAATCAAACACACGAATCACCCGTGAGTATTGTAAAATACTCGTGGTTTGAATAAGTTTAGCCAAAATTAACATTTGCTTTGTTCGCTCAAGCATTTTTGCGATCAGTATTCAATTGTTAAATATCACATTAATTAAGAGCCCAATACAATACAGGGTTGAAAATGCAAAATTAGGAGCTGTTTACATGAGCCCGGCTACCCGAGATTCAACGAAGCGTGAGAGGACTTTGAGGTATTGAAATAAGTCTTTATGACACCAAACAAGCACATGCTATTGTTGTGGTGATTATACGACTGCCAGGATCGTGTTATCTGCTCGTTTCAATACCTCAAAGTCCTCTCACGCTTCGTTGAATCTCGGGTAACCGGGCTCATGTAAACAGCCCCTTAGATATTCGCAATCGTTTAGTCCAGGCGACTGAAATTTCCTTTCAAATGACAACCACGAGAGAAGGAAGGATCTGTGTTAATAGGATATTTTATGCATTATTTTCAAAAGTTCTTTGTTTCTCTCTTTTGTCATTGTCATCTCCGTATGACGACATTCATATCCAAATAGGTTGTGGAAGCCCTGCCAGGCGTTGGCTGTGAAGTATGAATTCGATTTGAAAATTTACAATCATAGTTGAACTGATTTATATTGAAGAATATCTTGTCCTTTTGTCAGGCAATGATTCTCAATTGATGTGGGGAAAGCTGGCTTGTTGCCAAAGACAACATGGAAAATTTACAGCGATTATATTTATGGATTTGCAAACGTGAATGGGCTTCAACAAAACAGCGTGTGGGACTGTCCTTTGTGATGAACACGATTCCGAATAGATTGTCGTCTTAACAGTGCTTCTATAGCAGAAATTCTGGTGGCTAGCATCGCTTGTTGTCAATATTGGCTCTGTTTGTGAAATAGCGAAGTAAATGGCTAACGTTATCGAGTTGTTTGTTGGGTTAAATCGTTTCTCACTAAACAAAGGATTGAATTAATATTCTTGATGAACGTAAAAGCTGGTATGTACAAATTTAAATATCATTTTAACTGTTTACAATATGCAATTTCTTGCAAATTCCTCGGGTAGTTTCGGGAACAACAATATTTGTGTAAATCGGCCTAAATTCTGGACGTGCATCACGATTTCAGCTATTTTCGACTTTTGGTTTGTCACTTTTCAGGGTGATTTTTTGAGCACACGTACCATAGAACAGCGGTTTCATGCTATGAAAATGCGTCATACTTAATTTTCGCACTTACGTAGCTTATGTGCGATCTCAACTCGGAAGAGATTTTCATCAGCATAACCGCGATAAAGTATTGTATAGTTTATCATAATATAATATAAACAAGTTTAAGTTCTTTGACACCCAATATTGCCATTACTTACATGAAGACTACCCAAGAGGTGACTGGGGGAAGATAAAGGTGCAATTTGTAATTCTGGTTCACAACAGTACTTCTGGTAATAAATATTGAAGTTTGACTTCGAGGCCTAGCTGGGACTTGGTCAAACGTCACATTTTCTCATGCGCAGGCGCAGAACATAAAAGCAGTTCTTGAACTGTCACGGAACTCTGACATTTTTTACCAGATGCGATCCGATGCATCGACTGATTTTAGTGTTTACCTGAATTTTGTCGGAGTTTCACTTCTGATGGATGTTTTATAGTCTGTTTCCTTGCAATGTATATGGGCTGCAAATCGACCATGTCAACGTAGTTCTGCTTTCTCAGTGTGCTTTCAGTAACACTACATTCCATATGTCAGAATGATAGAAAGAAAATAAGGCCAATTTCAGACGTCAAACACTTCATATGACGAATCGAATTCAAATGACTTTAATTAAATATACATTAGGTTCGCCATATGAAAAGTTTGACGTCTGAAACAGGCCTAAGTTATTGAATCTTTTGAAGTGTAGTGAAGTTATCTTGTTATTCTCGTCTTCAATTTAACGAGTATTCTTAGAAAATGAGGCGTTAATAACAAACGGCAGTTTCCAATTTTTCAATTCGCTTTAATTGGTAAACATACTTCGTGATGATTTGAACTTTGACACTTCTGTGAATCGTATCCTGTTTCTGCGAAAAAGTTATAAGAGGCTACAGGAAGGATTGATAACATACATAGCAATATTTTACTCGTTAACGGAAGCAAAACAGCTATTAAAGGTATGTAACAAATTCATTCTATAGTCTAGAATAACGAAATGTATTGTTGTAGAGCTATCAACTGTGCATGTATTGATGTCAAATAATGAAATATATAGCAGCATTTTTATCGATTTACTTAAATATTGTTAATACCACTTCCGCACTGGGTTGGGATAAAACGCGGATCCGGAATTGCGGATCCGGAATGCGGAATTGCGGATCCGGAATGCGGAATTGCGGATCCGGAATGCGGAATTGCGGAATGCTAGAATGTTAAATTTAATTTCAACATGTATAACAGAACTAAAGATATATAACAGAACTAAATTTCAATAGTGGAATAAACGTAGTCTTTCCAAATTAAGAAATTTTATTATATGAACATGAGTGTTATATAGAGTTTTACGCCACCGAGAAAAATTGTATTTAAACACACGAAAAATCCGATATTTTTACGATATTTTTACGTACAATATCTTTACGTAAAAATCAAACCAATCAAAAAATCTGTTGTAAAAAGCTCCAGTTTTTAAATTTATTTTTATAATTTGTTCATATAATAAACAGAATATTACATGGTTGCTTGGAAATACAGATTTATTTCTACTGTTGAAAAGAATATTTCGCACTCGTTCGCTGCTCTCACTCCCGAGCAACATTCTCTAAATAAATTGCATATTTCCAAGCAACCAATATTTCTTTATATAGTTACCGACGAAGTAATTGGCAATTCAGGACTACACCTTAATTAATTCCCGTCTTTATAAAATTGCCGTTGATTCGACACAGCTAATCGGGATTCTATTTTTTTTCTGATACACCCTGTATAGTTTAAATCTGGAAACCAGTATCTCGAAGTATGCGCAGATGCTCCGGTCTAAGGTGTTGGGCAACATTATTGGGTATTTTTGCCATTTGTGGTACAAAATAAGGCTGCTTTTTCCTTACACAATCCAAATTCATATGGAAATAAACATTTCCTTCTCTAACTCTCATTTCCCCATTTGCTGAATCACGAAAACTTCTATTCATTCTTGAGATGACTGTAAGATCGTCATATTATTTCATAGTTCTTTCGTTTCGTCTCCTATGGGAATCTTTTGCACGTGCGGGAATTTGAGAACTTGCACGTGTAGGAATCCTTTAAAGTGCCGATTCCGCTTTCTGACGTCGGCATGTTACAGCAGTCAAGCAATTAATTAATTAAATGGAATCAGATGTCTTCACAAAAAAAAGAGAGACCTAGCGCTGATATTTAAGGCAACAATGTAATCGCTGCGTTAAACAAAGTTATAGTAAAATAATAATACAAAAATGAAGTTAAGTTTATTAGTTATTAGACCTTAAACGAGAGATATTTGGTTATATAATATTTCATCCCTCAGGTAATTTGATTCTTTAATAAACTCCAATTGAAAGGCGGTAACCCATGATCTCTTTTCGACCTTCTTATAAGTGTTGGAACTTTAAAACTCGCCGTTATACCCGACATATTATTTCATAGTTCTTTCGTTTCGTCTCGTATGGGATTGCACGTGCGGGAATTTAAGAATTTGAACGTGTAGGAATCCTTTAAAGTGCCGATTCCGCTTTCTGACGCCGGCATGTTACAGCAGTCAAGCAATTAATTAATTAAATGGAATCAGATGTCTTCGATCAGTCGGGTGCATTGTATTCGCTGAAAAATACCATGGTCGTATGGTATAAAACGAGTCCGGTGATTGCAAAAGTTTATTGTGAGGTATAATGTATTAACTAAAGTTCATGGTTCGCGAAACGCCCGTGATCTGGAGGTTGGGTGTCGCTATCAAGGTGTGTTTACAGGCGCTATTCGCGCAACATATGCTCATTAAACGTCATGTTATGCTAAACAGAGAAACTAATTCACAATACTGTAAGAATTTTCTCTTACAAGACAGTCCGGAACTATGTGTTTCGTGAGGGTTTTTTATAAACATTTATTCCAGTTGCTTTTAAACATTTTTATTAGTTTGACGCCGCATTCCGTTTCCGCAATTCCGCTTCCGCATTCCGTTTCCGCAATTCCGCATTCCGTTTCCGCAATTCCGCATTCCGTTTCCGCATTCCGTTTCCGCAATTCCGCATTCCGTTTCCGCAATTCCGCATTCCGTTTCCGCAATTCCGGATCCGCGTTTTATCCCAACCCCTTCCGCACTTGACTGTCTCGTTCAATTCTGTCATACAGTCTAGTTTAAATTCAACTAGAAACTGTGTCGATTTCCCCAAACAATACAATGTATACATAGAACACTTTTCAGCAAATCTTTGGTCGTAATTTTAGAACGTTTGTCAGGCATATGGAATAACTCCGAATAAGTCATGAAATTCAATATATCTTTCGTAAATGTCTGTTTATTCCGTTTCGAGGTCGTATTGAGCTTAATCTTAACTTTGATCAATTAATTTTGCGTTAAATTTAGGTTAAATTAAGTTCGGTGGTTTACAAATGTTCATGCCCTGGGTGCTCCAAAGCATACATAGGAAAGACAGACAGATGCCTCTATACAGGACTCAACGAACATGCAACAACAGACAAACAATCAGAAATTTATAAACATATCAAGTTTATCAACACTTGTGAACAATTTAACCACCTGACAAATCTATTACAACTTAACATAGACGAACCCAGCACTGGACAATTTCATTTGACACTCTTCCTATTGCACAACTGTCACATCATAGTAGGGCTAAGCAGTAGGCATTGGTCAAATCTACTGTTCAAAGAAGCACTCGCCATCCGTCGACAAAAACCGGAGCTTAATCATGGCACAAAGACATCCAAAGAACTATCGGTTTCCTCTTGAACAATATCAAATTACATAGAGTATATACAACGCATGCACATGTAAATTAATCATTCCTGATGATGACTAAATGAAGTCGAAACGTTGAATGAAAATGCTTACTTTATTCGGAGTTACTATTGTTGTGTATTTTAGGTTGAAATGGGAGCTTTTGTTCAAAGACTACTCCTTGTCTGTGTGTTCGTCGCAGTTCGAAGTTCAATGGTTGACGTCGAAGAGCTTGACTTTCGAAAAGCTTTTAAAATAGTTGAGAATGCGGCAAAACAACCAGGGAATATCGATTACAACACATTTTGCAGTAAAAGAGGACGTGGTACCTTTAAATTTTCCTGTCGAATGAATAAAACGCCTGATATTGTTTTGCTTGTCTGTCTCGAACCTGATATTTGCGAATATATTATTCAAAGGGAGTTGCTCACTTTGAGTATCCTTGCACAAGAAGGTCTCAAAGTCCTGCGTTTTTATCCGAAGATTATCACTGGGTAAGTTTAAATCGATTTAATTTTTAATTCTTATCGTTGTATTGTGTTTTGGGATTCTTGCTTCGTATTTTGATAGGTGTAGTTGCGTGATGCATCCAGTCTATTGTTAGATCAGCCCCAAGACACTGATCTAGCAATACACGTACACTGAATGCATCACGCAACCATAGAAAAATCGAGGCCAGAATCAATGAAATTTAACAAATTAAGGAATGTTCAAGTGATGCATTAATTCTTTTCAATTGTCTTATTGAAAGTTCATTCTTTCATAAGTATACATAATAATCGCTCTCCAGTTTATTATGGAAAATTTTGGCTTCATCCAGTCTATTGTTAGATCAGCCCCAAGACACTGATCTAGCAATACACGTACACTGGATGCATCACGCAACCATAGAAAATTTTTTTTAATCGGACTTGACTTCCACTTTAAGAAATCTCTCTTTTTTCAATCCGCCAGGCTCAGGTGCGGTGCAAAAGAAAGCAAGAACGTTAGCTGTATGGGTTTTCTGGAAGAATGGATGTCACCCGAGAAAGGGAAAGAAAGGTCGCTGAGAAAGGTAATTTTGGCGGAGAAGACCCAAGATTTGGTGACGTGGTTAATGGATTATCAGAAAAATCGTTCAGCACGTTTTTTGACCGCCTGGCATCTTGAAAAAATTCGCCAATTCACGGACCCAAAAACGGGTGTTTACTCAAGAATCTGTGATCTTCAGGGGTATTTTATGAAAGATGGCGGGTTCACAATTGCGGATCCTGACGATATAATAAAGAATCAACCTTTGAATTATACGTGTTATAGTGACGAGTACCCCACCACTCTGATGGTCATTAAAAGTCTGAAGAAAATCGTCGACGACCTGGTGTCAAATTAGGACGTATAGGAGTAGATATGGACAGTAATTGACATGTCTTGATATAATATCCTTGTTGTCGCTTAAATGATTAAAAGTCGCAGTGAAATGTAATTATGTAACTGATTTAGTTTAGAAATGGAAGGCCAGTAAAGGGCAAAGCAAGTTATGATTAAAATCAACCTAAATATATTTTGCTTTTACAGTCAAACCGGATGTTGTCTTGCGCACGAAATTGCAATATTGCTAGGCAGTGTTGCAATATTGATTTGCAGATTGCGCGATTGCACAGATTGTGATATAAATTATTGAATTTGAAAATGGTACAGTTTTTCTCGTCATTGGCGCTTGCAGAACTTGAAATAACTTGATTATTCCAATTGGATAATCCTTTTCTATGCTTTCAGTAAAGAACGAACCTATGCTATTGATTGAAACAGAAATGTATTGTGAGTTCAGCCAATGAAAATCATTCTTGCGAGTGCTGCATTGCAATGCCAGTGGCAATGCAGTGGCAAGAGCATTGCACCGGCATAACAAAAGCGTAGGTTTGATTCCTGCCGGAGGACCGATAGTTGACTCATTTTTCCATCAACTGTTCCTGGCTTGAATTTGAAGTGTGTATAATTCCACTCGAAATTAAGACCCTTTCAACCTCTATTTTACGAAAATGTAACAATGTTGGCCATTAAATGTTTTGTTGAATATCTTTATTCGATTTAAATTTTTGAACTTAATCATTTACATTTATCATGATCTATATAGTGATGAATTCGCAACAATATCACATCAAGACAAGCATGTCATGCAAATATTGTTCAAATCTATTCCAATTCTTTCACCATTTTCTTTAAACCGTCGACGACCTGCCTCGTTTTCGGGTAATCATCTGGAGTGTGACATGTGTAATCCAAACTTTCCCCAGATTTAATTTCGTCTGGATCTGCGATCTCGAATCCTCCGGCTTTCATGAAGTATCCCTGAAGGTCACAAATCCGTGTGTAAATGCAGCCCGTATCAGGTTTGGTAAATTTCAGAATCTTTTCTAAATCAACGCGCGTTATCGAGCGTGCCTCTTGAGTCGTCTGAAAACCTTTTAACCATTTCAGCAACGTTTCTGTTGTACCAATACGGAAATGACTTCTAAGGTGTTGTTCTTTACCCTTTTCAGCCGCAACCCATTCGACCAGATACCCCGAGCAACTGACGTCTGCACTTCCTCGCTCCGCGCACTTCAACCTGGGAGAATTGAAAAGTGAAGATTTTGCCGTGAATGGAAGAGTTTGAGGAGAACAAGGTAGGTTAAGCCGGCTTTCTACTAGCGGTATTTTTCGCGCAAAGCGACTTTATTCCTTTGTATTTGAGCAATTCGTTCCAGATGGTTGCAGTTGAGAGCTCTGGAACAAAAGTAAAATGTCGATTCGCGCGAAAAATATCGCTAGTGGAAAACCGGCTTTACACTGCCTTTTCAGCATCGTTTCTGCTCATAACAATTGGTAGAGAATCTGATTTTAAAAATTGTTGATATGCAGCACGTTTTGTACTTTTCTAAACAAAAACTCAAACTTGTACTCATTTGAAACTACAGAGAACCAAAATAGCGTCAAATATTCTGACAGTTTTTTTATATTTTTAGAAACTTGTAGCGACTGAAAATGTAAACAAGGCGTTTGTTTGCATTAGCGATTGTAAGCTACTTTTAAGAAGTTCTGATGAGAAGGGACGTCGCTGTAAAGAGTTGTGGGTGTTTTAGGAGGGGGATTGCCTACCCCAAACCCTGCACTACAGACACCACGTCGATTTTATGCCGGGACATTTGATGAAACTCTGCAAGATTGTCGTGGGAGGAGACCTCTTTAAAATCTGGACTGACAAGTGAGTATGTTTGTATATGGTAGAAATTCATTCATTGCGTTTTTGACCGACAGTGGTGTAAGAATTACCAGCAAATTTTATTCAGCAAAGAAAAACTATATAATTCCACTCCTGTAGGTTTTTTTTTTGGGGGGGCGGAGGTTTTTTTTTGGGGGGGAGGTTTTTTTTTGGGGGGGGGTGGAGGTTTTTTTGGGGGGGGAGGCGGAGGTTTTTTTTGGGGGGGAGTGCAACTTTTGCCCAAGAGAATCTGGAACCTATTCCACATAGGATTTGATTATATATTTAGTTGCATTTAACTTACCCCTTAATAAGTTTGTCATGATATGGCAGAACCTTGAGTTTCGCTTTCACGAGTGTATTCAGACTGTTTAACTCGCGCTCCAAAGTTAAATCGCAAGTATTAGCACCGTTAAAATTAAAATTTTGGAGGCAGACCAGCAAACCGACGTTTGGCATTTCCTTGATTTGACAGCCCTGTTTGAACGTACCAACACCTTTTCTTTGGCAAAAATCATTGTAATTTATATTTCCCGTCGCTTTCGAGGCCTTCTCGACCAGTTCAACTGCTCTTGAAAACACCGGCCGGCCCGTATCGACCGCGGCCCCATTGACTGTCATCAAACAAGCAGCGATAAATACGATTCTTTGGAAAGAAGACTTCATATTTTACCTAAATTCGATGCAAAATTAGTTACTTTGCGACATAAAATTCGGGAGCCGGTTGTTCGAAAGGTGTTTAAATAGCGGATAAGTTCAAAATGGAAAGCAAATTATCTATATTTATTTATTTAAAAAACTGAGCTTGAATATTTCGATGTAAATAGTTTAATATTCAATGGAAGTATATGTTTATATGGGCATTAAAGTACGAAGTTTGTTTTCAACTGTATTTGCCAAAATTCAGGCACGTTAATATACGATAACTGGTAGCTTTTTAAAATGACAAAAGCACTTAAGCAGTTATCTTGAGAATTTTCCAATAGTATAAACTGATATGTCAACTATAAAGATGACGCGGGCTTTTGAAGTGAAACGCTTTTTTTAATAAACGACTAATAAACGACTTAATTGTTTTGTTGATAAACTTTTCAGTTCCAGTGTTGCCGTGTTTAAAAATAAATGATAAACGTGGCCATATTTTTGGTAAAATTTGGAAGGATATTGACTATTTTCTAACCGCATAAGTATACTAGCATTTGTAACTTGCAAGCTTACGATGATCTAACCTGCAATTGATAAAGTTCAGTAAAAGTGAAGATTCGTTGAATCAACAAAATATTATTCGCTAAGTAGTTGTTATTTTATATTTTTCCGCCTAAATGGCTAAATACTGCAAACTTTTCATACGATATCGTTTAAAATATATGGTAAACTAACTTACCGATTTAGCTTTTGCACAGACAATATGCTGTCTTTTCAAAATAACGCGTTCTTTTGGGTTATATTAGGAAATGTTGGCAGTTTTCAATGTCTCGTCTGAATGCAACCAGTTGTCCAGCACCACTTTATTACCGTGTCTTTTTACTTCAAAGTTTTTACTTAGTTTTACCGGTGTCTTGTAAACAATGCCACACGCTTCTTTTTCATTAAAGATACGCTTCAAATGAAAAAATGCCCCCCCAAAAAGCGCCTGAGTCGAATATAAAAAATGCTATGTCTTTGATTTAGGCAATTTTAAGCTTTTGTTTACAAGCGTAGCCTTTGGCTTTAGCAATCAATGTGAGTTTTAGTTCATTCATCTAGCTTCATAGCTAGATGTTCTTTGACTTTGAAAGTAATGCTATTTTTGCCATAATTGCAATGGTTTGGGAGAGATTTAGCGTCTATTTTGAGGCTAATTTTAACTGGTACTGTTTATTCTTACACTGCATGATGCTGCATGTTTACAATTGTTAAACAAAGCGACAGTTTTAACTTTCCAAATCATTGCTATTCTATTATATTTATTTCTACAATATTTACACTATCATAATTTAATCTATATTTTCAGCTGAAGCAAGGCTGAATATACAGTCACCGCTCAAGTGATGTGCCCTCGAAAAATAAAACACTAGATTGAAAAGAGTTACTACCATTTGCGTTCAAGCTTGCGGCGTGCGATTTTAAAACGTACGTTTCACGTTTCAAAACGTACGTTTGCCGTTTCAAAACGTACGTTTTGTTACGCCCCCTGTCATGTTTAGACAATGAAATTGACATGTTTTTGAAGTTCAAACGAACTTAGCTAATATCCAAAAATAGGTTTATTACATTTGTAACGTTTGCGGAAGTGTTTTATAAGAATTACAAATGGAACCTTACTCTGTGAGAAAAGTAAACTTATATAGGCGCAATTTTCTTTTTTCAAATAGCTGCATTCAGTATTTTAAAACGATATTTACAAATAACCCAAACATGAAAGGGGGCGTGACAAAACGTACGTTTTGAAACGGCAAACGTACGTTTTGAAACGTGAAACGTACGTTTTAAAATCGCACGCCGCAAGCTTGAACGCAAATGGTAGTATTTGATTGTTTATGATTACTTTACAGTTATGATTTTTGGCACTTCACTCGAAGTAGGTAAATTCTAATGGTTCAAAGGGTCTTTATTTCGAGTGGAATTATACACACTTCAAATTCAAGCCAGGAACAGTTGATGAAAAAATTAGTCAATTATAGGTCCTCCGGCAGGAATCGAACCTACGCCGGTGCAATGCTCTTGCCACTGAATTTGAAGTGTGGATAATTCCATTTGAAATTAAGACCCTTTATTAAACCATTATGATTACTTTGCAATTTAGCTATCAAAAATTCAAACTTCAACGACTTTTATCACCATCCAGGAATACGACTAGAGATCAATTGCCCAGGTATATTCGATTATTCGTTCCTTACCCCACTTATCACCTATTTTAGTTCCTTATAATCCCTCTCGGTCCTTTGGTATCCGTTCTCGAATTCTCGGAAGCAAACGGCGGGCAATTCCTTGGAACAAAAACTTCGCTTGCCCGCGCTCGGGTGGAAGTGAAGCACAACTGACCGTTCATACAATTTCCTTGCAAGACGGAATTGCTGAAACGTTTAGGAGATGCCGTTACTGAAGAACCTGAAGGAATTCTAAGGAAATCGAGGAACTTTGAATTTTTTGTCAAGGAATTGGAAGCTGAGCTCGTTTGATAATTCACTTTCAAAATAAACAAATTACAAATTCTCGAACGGAGCCGTAGTAAAAAATCGTTGAAGATTTTAGGCGGAAATATTTCAAAACAGCGTCCAAAAAACAGCGCAAAAACAAAACAACGTTCGCCGGGGATAGACCAAAGGATGTAAAGATATTTCCTCTTCAAAAAGAAACCATGCAATGTCCTTTGTGCAGAGAATCTGTGGCTGATGAAAACGCTTTGCAAGTTCACTATCTCATGTCGTGTTTGGGATATCTCGATAACGCTTCAACAAATAAACAAAACGAAGGTATTTCGGATCAAAGAACTACACATAACGTAGCTTTGAATCAAGCTTCAAGCCTTGTAAAGTTTTCTTTACGCAAAGCACGCTCAGATGTTTAATTTCTGTATTTTACAACAGCTCCTCCGAGCAAAAAGTTGGTGCAGTTCAGATGGATCAAATCGAAGCCAACTCTTGCTAGAGAAGTCTATTTGATCAGCTCTTTGGTACGTATTTTAGTTGTCTTTGAACTGCTTCTTTTGTATGGAGTTGAATCTTCAGTTAGATTAGTCAAGATTGACAACTGTATATAATATAAAAGCGATGAACTTCTGTACAAATTTTGTACAAAAGCGGTGTTTGTTCAACAACTGTGTATATTTGATCTGCGTTTGTTGTCGCTAATTTTTGAAATTTTGCGCGATCGCAGTCGTAATATACACAGGTGGCTTTTTCTAAATTAGGAGAACCACTTTGGATAAGATATTTATAGTTCAACAAGGCTTGATTATTGAGTAAAGCTTGCCCCAAATTTTGCATGATTCAAACGTGTTTCCCAGTATGAATTTCCTGTACTTTCCCTTACCAACCATGCCACATAGACTGGTTGCTATGAGTTATGGGTCATTGCATACCATTTGGGTAACGAGGAAGCTGAATTGTCACCTTTAAGTAAAATCATCTGATATTAGACAGAGTAAAATACTAAAGTAGGTCACATCTGGGTGCATTGCAAGCTAATGAGTTAACAAGAGACACTGACAGATAGTTTTGTTAACTTATTAACTGACAGTACTCTTCCACCGATGAGTAAAATCATCTGGCATTAGACAGAGTAAAATACTAAAGTAGGTCATATCTGGGTGTATTGCAAGCAATGGGTTAACAAGAGACACTGACAGATAGTTTTGTTAACTTATTAACTGACAGTACTCTTCCACTGATGAGTAAAATCATCTGACATTAGACAGAGTAAAATACTAAAGTTGGTCACATCTGGGTGCATGATCCACCGTGATATAAAATTGTGTCAATTAATTCACATTAAATCTTCATTTTAGGCTGGATCTGTGAAGCTGGATTGGCGAGTAATTGATGAATGTTTTCTGTCAGATCAAGTGGAGGTACCCCAGGGTTTGCATGTGTGTCAATTGGTTGTGGATGGAGATATGATGTCAACGGATGATTTCAGTGTTTCTGATACTAGTCGAACTATTGATGTTCTGATCTCTAAAGGTAAATTTGTTACTCAACTGAATTCAATCCATAAACTGGACAACTGAACCTATTATGTATCTTAATGACTTTATACAATCTTATTTGTTTTAATGTCAGATGATTTTACTCATCAGTGGAAGAGTACTGTCAGTTAATAAGTTAACAAAACCATCTATCAGTGTCTCTTGTTAACCCATTAGCTTGCAATGCACCCAGATGTGACCTACTTTAGTATTTTACTCTGTCTAATGTCAGATGATTTTACACATCAGTGGAAGAGTACTGTCAGTTAATAAGTTAACAAAACTATCTGTCAGTGTTTCTTGTTAACCCATTAGCTTGCAATGCACCCAGATGTGACCTACTTTAGTATTTTACTCTGTCTAATGTCAGATGATTTTACTCATCAGTGGAAGAGTATTGTCAGTTAATAAGTTAACAAAACTATCTGTCAGTGTCTCTTGTTAACACATTAGCTTTTAATGCACCCAGATGTGACCTACTTTAGTATTTTGATCACTCTGTTTAATGTCAGATGATTTCAATTTACAATGAATGTTTTAGACTCTCCAGTTGATGAATCAACAGGCAATGTTTCTGAAGAAGAACATCAAATGGAAACCACATCAAATCCGGGCAATGTTGATGAAGCAGGTAACTTTATGCTTATATCTCAAAACAAGAGTTGAAAACTAGCGACCAGTTGAAACTTTGTTATTTTGGGGGGTATTAATACAATTCCCACCACAGTTTTTAAAAAACCAGTTAGCGCAACCCTGGGTTAAAGCAAATATTTACGTGAATTTTTTTAATCACTTCTTTACAAAGTTGAATATCTTTTTTCATGAATATTCTCGGTCATATTTTCTAAAGTTTTAAAACGAACAGTGGTTCAAAAGCGCATCAACTAAAACACTGTGTTTTGGCCTTACCTAACCTAGTAGCTTTGAACAACCGGCCCCTGGTACAATCATTGCATTGACAAATGACAATTCAGGTACTCTAGGAATTTTTAGCTTACAATATAATATTTTCTTGCAGACGGAGAAACTGAAGTTCCATCCACAGAGGCAGAAACAACCAGAAAAAGTTCTTTGTACAGAGAACTTATAACTCATCAAGTAAGGGAATTAACATTATACACTTAATGTATGCTCCCAGGGAAATAGTGAGTTTTATTTTCCCAAGAGTCTGAATGTTGAGACTCGAGGGTAATCCAGTGGGGAAATCAAACTCATTATTTCCCGAGATAGTGTAGATTAAGTGTTTTGTTATATAGGAACGAAAACATACATGTTACACAACAATTTCATTTAAAAAAGAAACCCACTTTACTTTATTATGACAAGAAGCGGGCAACAACTATTCACTTGTTTCCCTGGCGGGAAACATTGCATTTATTTAAAGTCATGTGACTACGAATGATCCAATCACATTTAAAATACACAGATACCTATATAAGACATATAAGTAATATAAGTAATATAACAATATACATAGTTTGTGATTGAACAACAGCACAACTGGAAATTGATAGAAATTTAACTTGTTTTAACTTAAAACTATTGCAAAAATGGTTGCATTTACACCGTTTTCACAGCAATTTGTTCAGGGTAGATAATTAAGAATTTAAAAACACCATTTTCTGTAGAAATGTGCTTCTACCGAGTGCTTTGAAATGCAAAGAAATTTTTGACGTATTTAGTGTTTTATTTTTTCATTTCTCGTCATGAAAATCCAACGAAATGATCAGAAATCTTCCTCGGCAGTCAGGATAACAAGGAATACGATTTCACTTTTATCATTTTCAATAAAATTTATTTCAAAATAGTAATAATTGTTGGAGACGAAAACACTTGCAATATTAGATGCGATTTTCTCCTTTTGGTAGATGTGAACGAGGGAGTAGTTAGGAATACTCTGATGTTAAGAGCTTTTATTTGAATATCAGTAACTAACTCACTCGTTCACATCTATCAAAAGAAAAAAAATCGCAAGTGTGAACGCGCCTTTTTTAATCTCAGATTCTTCACGGGGATTCTTTTGAAACTCTGACGGGTACCACTCGGCCAGATCTCGGGGAAAGTTCGGGCTCACGGAAGGAAAGATCGAGAGGGAACGGCGTATCTTCGAGGAAGACTCGTGCTCCGATAGTCAGGGACGCCCAGGATACAAGTGGGATTGACGCGGCATTGACTGGCAGTGAAGAAACAACTCGGAGAAATCCGGATGATTCCGAACTTCCACGAGAAAGGTAGGCGACTTTCCATCCGAATAGGAAACAGTTTAGAACTGATAGAGCTATCCAGTATAAATAAAGTTAGTTTAGTTTAGGTTTCCTCCTGTAGTAACACTGGATCAATAAGAGATGATCCTTACTGGACCTCTAGGAAGAACAATTTAGAACTGATAGAACTATCCAGTATAAATAAAGTTAGTTTAGTTTAGGTTTCCTCCTGTAGTAACACTGGATCAATAAGAGATGATCCTTACTGGATCTCTAGGAAGAACAATTTAGAACTGATAGAACTATCCAGTATAAATAAAGTTAGTTTAGTTTAGGTTTCCTCATGTAGTGACACTGGATTAATAAGAGATTATCCTTACTGGACCTCTAGGAAGAACAGTTTAGAACTGATAGAGTTATCCAGTATAAATAAAGGTAGTTTAGTTTAGGTTTCCTCCTGTAGTAACACGGGATCAATAAGAGATTATCCTTACTAGACTTCTAGGAAGAACAGTTTGAAACTGGTGAAGCTATCCAGTATAAATATTATCAGTTCTTCTTTTTCGAAAACTATGTTAACAACAAACTTTGTTGCCAGGAATAATGACGCTCCATATCACTCGTTGAGCCCCGAGGAACTGCAGGAGTTCCTCCAGCCAACAAGACCTCGGCAAGAGATCAGTGGTGGAGATGACGACAGCCCTAGCATAGTAACAGAAGAGAGAGAATCATCACTTTCGGACATCAACGGTACTGAAGGTTCGTTTGAAATGTTCAGCATTCTAAGCACAGCATTTTAATCAGCGTTTCAATCAGCATTTGCTGACTCAGCGTTTCATAAAATGCTGAGTCATCATTTTTTTCAAACTTTGTTCCCTCATTCTAAAATGGTCGAAAATATTATTTCTGAAATCGGATATGTTCTGTTTAGGAAACTTGTTAAATCTTTCACAAGAAGATTTTGATGCCCGACCGGAACTTCTCGGCCAATCAAATGGCGAGAACGAAGGCGATCACGTTCGGCCTGGAACTGTTCCCCATCCAGATACATCATCAGATCAGGGCGGCGAAGATGACGTCGTGGTGACGACTCGTGAACAGTCGACGTTGGGTGAACGAGAACGATCGGTGCGTGGTCGTGAACAACCGGGCAGGGATCGGGAACAGTCGGTTGGCGATCGTAAACCTTTGGTAGGGGAACGTGAATCATTAGTTGGCGTTCGTGAATCATTAGTTGGCGTTCGTGAAGAGTCGGTAGACGATCGTAAGGAGTCGGCGGGCGGTCGTGAACAAGAAGTTCTTCCCGTCGAACGTCGTGAGCCATCGTCGGACCAAGATAGAGAAAGTTTGATCAATGGTTGTTCCGAGCAGTCTCCGAACAACGATGGTCGTGAAATGTCGTCCGGAAATCGACCGAAACCATTACCGCGTGACCGTCACGTGGAATCCTTGGCTGACGATCCTGGACTTGTCGGAGACAAACGTGAGCATTCGGGTAGCGAAGATGAAACGTCAGGCGAGAATCGTAAACCGTCGGGAGACGATCGTAAAGCGTCATCGGGCAGCCTTCGCACCGAGAACCAAGATCCATTGCTCGGCCACCACGAACTAACTTCGGCTGGTCTTCTGGGGAGATTTTCCGATGGCGGCAGAGATCGACAATTCTTTTCCCTCCCGGTTACAACAGGAATTTCCGTCACCAGGGGTCAAGGGCCGCCCCACCAGAGTTTCCCCACCTTCTCTAACGGAACTCAAGGACCAGACAACACTACCCACGACGGTAGCCATGGGTTAGAAATTAATCCAGTAACGACCACCATTCCAGATGACCTTCTTTTCAAACCTCAGTCCACGAAAACCCATCCCAGAACCGCCAGGAAGGTAACGAACGCAAGAAGACCATTTTGGAGAAACCAATCCGGTTACAAAGGCAAGAAATCGAAGCCCGCGAGTCGCGAAGTCAGCGGGAAAAACTTGGATATTGGGTCTCGAAATGAGGACGCGAATGTTCAAAATGAAAGAAGTACACTCACAAGTCGCGAGGGTGGTGCTAAAGTTCAATATATTGGTTCCCGAACAAGAGAAATCCATGATGCAGACCCCGATGCTGGTTCTCAGAACAGAGAAGTGACAATTTCAAGCACAAATGCAAGTACTTCAAGTAAGATGACTCGTGACGTTCCACGGTCCACAAATATCTCTGTGGGTGAAAATTTTCCAGCGGTTTCCAGGCATAAACCTCAGGGATCTTATCTGACCGGCAGTGATGTCAAGCGTCCCCCGTCGTACACAACTATCCCAAGTAGATCCTATTCATCTCAGCCGTATACATCTCATACAGCAATTTCCCCACTGTCACCCCCTCGGGATGACGAAACGGCCGTGTCAAGTGCATTGGGGTCTGGGACCAGAGGAGTCACAGATCGTGACACTCGTGTTGCCTCGAAAATCATTCTGGATCGAGACACTCCGACGGGTTCTTCACAAAAGGCTGATGGAACTCAGGCTTCAAGTGGAGGTTCGGTGACCACAGCTAATAAAACGTTTACAGACGAAAGCATAAAAGGTAAAATATCTAGGTTTTTTCCTGTAGTAACACTGGATCAAAAAGAGATGATCCTTACTGGACCTCTAGGAAGAACAGTTTAGAACTGATAGAGCTATCCAGTATAAATAAAGTTAGTTTAGTTTAGGTTTCCTCCTGTAGTAACACTGGATCAATAAGAAATGATCCTTACTGGACCTCTAGGAAGAACAGTTTAGAACTGATAGAACTATCCAGTATAAATAAAGTTAGTTTAGTTTAGGTTTCCTCCTGTAGTAACACTGGATCAATAAGAGATGATCCTTACTGGATCTCTAGGAAGAGCAGTTTAGAACTGATAGAGCTATCCAGTATAAATAAAGTTAGTTTAGTTTGGGTTTCCTCCTGTAGTAACACTGGATCAATAAGAGATGATTCTTACTGGACCTCTAGGAAGAACAGTTTAGAACTGATAGAGTTATCCAGTATAAATAAAGTTAGTTTAGTTTAGGTTTCCTCCTGTAGTAACACTGGATCAATAAGAGATGATCCTTACTGGACCTCTAGGAAGAACAGTTTAGAACTGATAGAGCTATCCAGTATAAATAAGCGAATTCAATTTGAATTTGAATATCCTTCTGTAGTAACACTGGATCAGACATTTAATTTCGCAACATTCCTAACCCTTCGCTGTATTTATTTCTTTCAGAACTTCTGGAGTCTTTAAAGAAGGAGACATCAAAAGGAAAGTCATCTTCAAAGAGCCCTCGAGATGAAGTCAGCAGCACTAGTGAAATTCCTACATTGAAAACTAGACTCACAGAGCAAGAAGAACTGATCAAAAAGTTGAAAGCCAAACGTTCTGATGACAAGAAAGTAATCGAGGCACTTCGAGAAAAGGAAATTCAGTTAACGAAAGCTCTATCGTTGGCTGAGGTAGGAATTTTGTGTTTCAAGATCTGTTCCAGCTAATTTTTTATTTAAATGCACAAAAGCTATCTATTTTCTTTACCTTATCCTTCCCAATGCCGGCTAATTCGATATCTATAGCTTTAAGTTATTGTAAAACACTGTTTTGGATACAGAAATTTCCATTTTAAAACGATTTAAACTCACAATTAAACTTGCCAACGGTTTAGCAATTGTGCTATTAAAGGATATATGCACACGGTAACGTTTTCGAGCGCCTTCACGTTCGTTTCCACGCCAAAACGGTTTCAAACACCGTCAATTTACAATAGAAGTTGAAGCTAATATAACATATTAAGCATATTTAGCTAATATAACATATTAAACAATAAAATAGATAAAAACAATTCTGAAAACGCTCGAAAACGACGCTTGTGTGTTCATAGCCCTAGTAATCTCTTTTAAAAACACATTTTTAAAGCCATATTCAAAAAACGCGCGAAATATACTTGCGAACAAAACACGTATTCAAGATGGCTGCGTTGTTTTAACTTTCCCGTCTATAGCCGATGAACGAGGTCCTTTTTATGAGTAAATTTAACTTATTTCGATGCCGGCGTCTCTGAAATAGATTTAGGGACATGTTTAAAGACTTCTGACTCTTAGTTAATGCTAAAAAATGACAACTATATCTTCTAAATGAAGATTTATAATCATTAAATCTTATTCTTCCGAATCAACATTTGTTTTAAAAGATGTTCAACTGGAGCTTCTATTCGTGTCTAACTACTGACGAGAACGTAAAAATATTGTCTAGATAAGAACTTTCAAGGGTATAACCTTTCTTCTAAAATCTACAGTTGCGTTTCGAAATTTGAAAGGACTTTTAAATACTTGCTGATGAAAATATTGAAGTTTGTTTCAGAAGATACGTATATCAGAAGTCCTTATTATTCGGGAATCTAAAATTTCTGAATTCGTAAAAAGCAAATAAGGAAACATTAAAATAGCCGCCATAAGCTTCAATATATTTGTTTAAAAACTATGAAACTACAAGAGACGTTTGAAAGCTGTGTTTTTAAACGAAAATATGGAGAAACGTTCACTTTATAGTAAGATTACTCGCTGAGTTTATTGGCTTTTGTGTTAGTAATCTTAGCTTTGGGGTCGGTTGTATCAAGTCTGTTTAGCTTAAACGGTGGATAAGTCAAAATTGAATAACACTTTAAGTCTCTCTTGAATGAGTCAACTTGAATATTATGCACTGAATATGTAGTTGTAAACAGTATCTTTGTATTAAGATTAAAAACATTTAGTTCGCTTGTTGAATAAAACGATAGACTTGCTTTCTATTTTGAACTTATCCACCGTTTGAGCTAAACAGGCTTGATACAACCGGCCCCAGCTTTCAAGACTATTGTATTGAGAAGCGTTTCTATAGTTGCATCTTACGTCTTTTATTCTGTCTTAAAGGGGAATAAAAAAGCGTTGAAAGACCAAGAGGAAATTGCAAGCCAGTTAATGGATGCTTTGGGTGACAAGGAAAAGGAATACGCTGAACTGGAAACACAAGCTCTTGATTTAAAGCGGGAACACAAGCGCTTGATTAGCGAGATTGAAGAAATGAAGAAAAAATACGAAAAGAAAATTCATGATTTGAGGAGTATTAATGTTTCTCTGGAAGATAAGGTTCGGATTTTGTAACTAGTGAGCTATCCAGTATGTAGTTAGATCAGTTTAGGTTTCGTCCTGTAGTAACACTGGATCAATAAGAGATGATCCTTACTGGACCTCTAGGAAGAACAGTTTAGAACTGATAGAACTATCCAGTATAAATAAAGTTAGTTTGGTTTAGGTTTCCTCCTGTAGTAACACTGGATCAATAAAAGATGATCCTTACTACACCTCTAGGAAGAATAGTTTAGAACTGATAGAGCTATCCAGTATAAATAAAGTTAGTTTAGTTTAGGTTTCCTCCTGTAGTAACACTGGATCAATAAGAGATGATCCTTACTGGACCTCTAGGAAGAACAGTTTAGAACTGATAGAGCTATCACCACAAATCGTTTATTGTGGTATTTTATTTGCTATTTAGATTAAATCTCATCATGAAACGTCCAAACCCAAATCCCCAAGACACACCGAAGAATACAAACAGCTACTTGAGTCTTGTATGAAATCTCGGGCCGTTGCCGCGAGTCTCGAAGACCAAGTGGAAGCATTAAAGAAAGAAAATAAAGATCTCAAAGATAAACTGGAGTTGTCGCCAGAAGACATCTCGAAACGTACCAGAGCAAACTACTCATCTTCCCCAGACAGAGGCATGAGAACAAGTCGTGAAGAGCAAGTGACAAATTCGATGAATGGTTACCTGGATACCAACGAATCGTCATCTTTGGTTGGTCGACAGCAGTTGGATAGTCGACATAGTCCAACTGATACCCGAGCACGCGCCGAGAACGACCGATATCTATCGTATGCGTCACGATATTCGCCGAGTGATTCCCGATACCCTTACGACGATCACCGAACATCGTACGAAAGTCGACGACACTTGCCGGAGAGTGCGAATACTCGCCCGACTCACTCACGACCAGAATCCGAATCAACCCGAAGCCATTTTGAGACTCATCAACGAAGCAGGTCCGGAAGATCCCGAGACCGATCCGATGTTCATGCATATGAAAGTCCCGAAACAAGTCCTCGAGTTGAAAAGCATCGAAGTCGGCAGTCGAGAAGTCGCGAACGTAGCACGATGTTTGACGATCTTTCACCGTCGGAAATTGCCGGAGTGGATTACAGGACTCCGTATTCCAGACGCAGCCACAGTTCAGACGCTATAAGAAATGTTCGCCGCGACCAGGACAAGATCTCGCCCAGTCAAGAAAGAGGAAGCCAAGAGCTTGACCGAAGAAGTAAAGATAGATCAGGTTTACATCGTACAGGTAGGGAAATATCTTTATTTAGACTGAATAGCCCCATCAGTTCTAAACTGTCATTCCTGGAGGTCCAGTAAGGATCATCTCTTATTGATCCAGTGTTACCACAGAAGGAAACCTAAACTAAACTAACTTTATTTATACTGGATAGCTCTATCAGTTCTAAACTGTTCTTCCTAGAGGTCCAGTAATGATCATCTCTTATTGATCCAGTGTTACTACAGGAGGAAACTTAAACTAAACTAACTTTATTTGTACTGGATAGCTCTATCAGTTCTATACTGTTCTTCCTAGAGGTCCAGTAAGGATCATCTCTTATTGATCCATTGTTACTACAGGAAGAAACCTAAACTAAACTAACTTGTACTGCAAATTGATATTTCTGCAGGCTCCTCTGACAATCTTCGCAGTTCAAGATTTACGTCCGCAGATCTAACGGACGACTTCACCCTGACCGGCGAAGGCCTGGGTTCAACTCCATCCCCAGAGACAGCATCATCCCGGAGATCCAGTCCCGGAAAAGGAACCCCATTCGCGCCAGAGAGCCCGCGACAGTTGGATGTGGGAATGTCTGTGTTAGTCACTCGACACAGAGGAAAATTAAGTCGTGGAGTAGTTCGATATATTGGATATCTTCCTGAAAAACTAAACAAGATATACATTGGGCTCGAGCTTGGAGATTCAGGTACGATATTTCTCCGTTTAACTTATTAACTGACAGTATTCTTCCACTGATGAGTAAAATCATCGGATAGTTTTAATTTAACTGGCAAAAATTGATGTAGAATTATTTGCTTCTCTTCCAGATGGTAAGCATGACGGCAAATTTAATGGCCAAAGATTTTTCAAATGGTGAGCAAACTAATTTTGTTTATGCTGGATAGCTCTATCAGTTCTAAACTGTTCTTCCTAGAGGTCCAGTAAGGATCATGTCTTATTGATCCAGTGTTACTACAGGAGGAAACATAAACTAAACTAACTCTATTTATCCTGGACAACTCTATCAGTTCTAAACTGTTCTTCCTAGAGATCCAGTAAGGATCATCTCTTATTGATCCAGTGTTACTACAGGAGGAAACCTAAACTAAACTAACTTTATTTATACTGGATAGCTCTATCAGTTCTAAACTGTTCTTCCTAGAGATCCAGTAAGGATCATCTCTTATTGATCCAGTGTTACTACAGGAGGAAACCTAAACTAAACTAACTTTATTTATACTGAATAACTCTATTAGTTCTAAACTGTTCTTCCTAGAGGTCCCGTAAGGATCATCTCTTATTGATCCAGTGTTACTACAGGAGGAAACCTAAACTAAACTAACTTTGTTTATACTGGATAGCTCTATTAGTTCTAAACTCTTCTTCCTAGAGGTCCATTAAGGATCATCTAAACTAAACTAACTCTATTTATACTGGATAGCTCTATCATGCCCTTGGTCTATAAATGTTTCCAAATTGGTGTTTTAAGTTTTGCTTTAATTTCGTTTCAGCAAACAAAACCACGGTGTATTTGTTCTTTTTGAGAAAGTTGTTATGGCTTACACGTGAAGTCAAATAAGATACGTATAAACAACTCCCATCAACAGAACATCGTTGCCAACAGACTTGTAGCTTTCTTGTCGAAAATGACATTCCAACAACATTCCTACTCGCTACAACACTGCCTCTTTTAACTTCATTATTAAGAGGAGATATTTTTCTATGTCGCGTAATATATGCTCAAAACCTCAGTTATATCTTCATGCAACAGCACTAAAATTTTCAGCATTAAAAATGTTTTGCAAAGCTGAAAAGCATCCACAAAGTATGTTTACTGTATAATCTCAAAATATTGTGAAAATGAAAAGATTTCTCGGGATACGCCGAGAAGAAAATGACACTTAAATCGAAGCTTCTTTTCTATTCATTTCAGTTATAATGGCGTTGACATTATAACATTGTTGATAGCCGCCGCATTATATTTTGTAATAACTCCTTTGTTTGGTGTTTTGCATTCACCAAATACAGTTCAAAACTTAGTTCACAACATAATCTAAAGAATACAGGTAAAATAAATGGATTTTGAGAGGTACGCCGAAAAGATTTTAGCTTTTGAGCGTTTTCCCGCCAAAATACGCGACATAATAAAAAACCTCCTCTTAATAGTCTGACGTGTGGTTTTCTAGTATTTTTACAAAGCAGTACTCTTTCAACCACATATTTAGCTAATTTATATACACATGCAAAGTTTTAACATATATATGTATAAAAATAACTTAACTTCAGTCTTAAGCGGTTACACTTTCACGATATTATACCAGAAGAAATCGTTAATACATCGTGTTTTGATTTTAAAAGTATTCCTATAAAGGTCTTTCTTTGTTGTATATATGAACTGAAATTGCTCAATTTTCTCTAAACGGATAACTTAATCACAGTTATCGAATCAAATGATGCCTTTGTAATCGAAAAAAGATTGCATTTTGTATTTTTGAGCCATTTTGTATAAACTTAAACGGCTCAATTTTCTCTCGACGAAGATATTATTTACAGTTATCGAATCAATTGATGGCTTTTTATCGAAAAATTATAGTATTTTCAACTATAGGCGGTCAGATTAACCGTGATAATACTGTCGAAATTGTTTGTGTACTTTCTCCAGGTCATTTTGAATGAGTTTGTTTCATCGTTATTGCGAAGTGAATAAATCCACGCCATGATCAAAAGAATTACTAGTTTTGGTAAAGTTTGGGAAGTCAATCCTCTTGGTAAAGTAAACTGTAAGAATTCTTTGAGTGATAGATATGGTTTAACGATGGTCAGGCTAGCTAGCTTTTCAACAGCCTGATGATCTAGTTTTAAGTTGTTTTTTAGTAACTATTTAAATATGAATCGTTTTCAAAAGGTTTCTCCTCAAATGTGGTATTGAACATTGAACAGCGTGATGTCTAGTTTTAAGTTGTCTTTTTATGTTGCCATTTAAATATGAAGCGTTTTCAAACGATTTCTCCTCAATTGTGGTATAACAACTGACTGAAATAGACCACAACACTTCACGACGTGTCAACTAAAAGACCTTCGCCAGGCGAGTTAGCAAAGGTAATAATTTTTGTCTATTTTAGCAAGTTTTTCTACTGTACTTCACCTGAAAATGTTGCAAGACTCTGTCACGCGGTTCGTGGTTACATTCAAATTAAAATGCCCTTCCCGCTTTATAGTTTCCAGCGATTGTTTTGAATTTGATACTCAGATGCAGAGTGGGATTTGTAATTTAAATGTCAAGTGGAATAAACATGTGACGAACTCTCCGAAGACACAAATCGACTGAAAACGGAAGGACTTGAATTTGTTGTGATGTGCTCGCTTTGGATTTGAATTTCTCGCTTGGTAAGTGCGTATTTTCGTTCAATATCATAACACTTTCATCCCCAGCGGTATCTTGCTGTCTGGCAGTGTGTTATCCTAAGAATAACTTTAGGCGATTAAAGCTTTTACACTCAGCCTTCGTCGGTGATTATTTTATTGTGAAGCAGGAAGTTCAACTTTGGTTAAATTTCGCCTTAGACTTAGTATAATAGCGGTTGTTATAGTTTTCCTTATACTAGAATTACTAAAGGCAGTCGAAATTCAAAGCAGACAATCGCTTTTAAAGAATAATTTGATGTTATTTTGATTTCTGTAACGATTAACGAAATTGTTCGACAATGTAGCAATATTATTAAAACTTTGCATTCACAAGCACATTGTCATTGAAAACCCGAACGATTCGCCGTTCTCTTTCTCTCATGGGCAAAATGCTACATATAGATATAGTGCCATGCATAGTAGTTCTTGATATGCTCACCATTTAAACTTAAAAAACTGGTAAAATCCGTTTTAAAATTGTGCTGAAATTATGTCATACCATAGGCAGCCCAATGGCGAATGGTTTTATTTGATTTAAAAATGTACACTTTGATGAAATTCACACATGTGTCATTTATTTACATGCTAATATACTTAAATCCTGTTACTTACAACGGGCGACTTGCGTGTCTAACCATAGGTAGCCCAATGCGCTGCATTACGTACGTCACTCGGGTCACGTTTATAGTATATAATAATATATATGTTATTATATATTATATATATTATTATATACTATATACGTGACCCAAGTGACGTACGTAATGCTGCAGCACATTGGGCTACCTATGGTCTGACAAGGCAATGTAGATAGCTATTATATATAGTATAATATATCCTAAGGTAGGCAACTTCAATCACAATATTCACATTGACACATGCAAACAATCCGAAAATACGTCAATTTACGCCTAAAACTAAGCTAAAATAACAAGAGAAATAAAATCTACGATAATTTTACTATACACTGACTATATTTTCATAATTAAAATAAGTTATGGAAGCGAGAAAAATGCGAAACGTTTTTGATATTTTACTCATTTTTTGAATGGGCCGATGCTGGACCCGCGCTGTTGACTTTTAAAAACGTTTGAAAATGACGAATTTGCTATCTGATTGGCTGTCTTTTATTCTCGCTGTTGTGACAGCCAATCAGATTACAAACTCGTCATTTTCATTCAAACGTTCTCAAAAGTCAACAGCACGGGTCCAGCATCGGCCCATTCAAAAAATGAGTAAAATATCAAAAACTTTTCGCATTTTTCTTGCTTCCATAACTTATTTTCATTATTAGAATATAGTCAGTGTATAGTAAAATTATGGTAGATTTCGTTTCTCTTGTTATTTTAGCTTAGTTTTAGCGATAAATTGAAGTATTTTCGGATTGTTAGCATGTGCCCATGTGAATCTTGTGATTGAAGTTGCTACCTTCATTTGAATAGTAATGAATACAAATTTTGACTATACTAGATTTCATAGGTAGCCCAACACTCGAGTTCCCGGCGCGTACACGCTACTCCGTGATCAGCATATATTAATTTATCCTAAGGTTGGCAACTTTATCACCAATTATCAATAATATATCACATACATACATGTCAAACTTCGATAAAAACTGAAAAACTACCATAAAATACTGCAAAATTAATAAATATAAATGAACTTGGATATATTTTCTAAATTCCGACATAGTTTTTAGCTTCAAAATGTATTGGCAAATACGGAAATTTGTTCATTTAATTTAAAATAAAGTTTTTGAAAATACATTGTTAAAATTTTCTTGTCGATAGGCGGGATCCAATTTACCCTGCATTACGTCACCTTCGGAGAAATCCCGAGTCAATCCTATTGGCTGCTCTCTCATGGAGCAATCTTCGGAAATTTTCCGACTTTTCAGCAGCCAATAGAATAAATAGGATTGACTCGGGATTTCTCCGAAGGTGACGTAATGTAGGGTAAATTGGATCCCGCCTATCGACAAGAAAATTTCGACAATGTATTTTCAAAAACTTTATTTAAATGAACAAATTTCCGTATTTCCCAATACATTTTGAAGCTAAAAACTATGTCGGAATTTAGAAAATATATCCAAGTTCATTTATATTTATCAATTTTGCAGTATTTTATCAGTTTTTATCGAAGTTTGACATGTATGTATGTGATATATTATTGATAATTGGTGATAAAGTTGCCAACCTTAGGATAAATTAATATATGCTAATCAATGAGTAGCGTGTACGCGCCGGGAACTCGAGTGTTGGGCTACCTATGTAGATACTAGAGATTTATAACTGGTCACCTCAGATTCATTGGTCAAAACACCTTTTAAGACTTGGTTTTTTCGTTCTTAATAACAAACAGAATTGATCAAAAAGAGATTAATCTGAGCCAACCAGTTTTAAAATTTAAATTATAGTTGTTTTAACGAACTATTTCATAGGAAGCCCAGACAAATGAGTTCAAGTTAATAAAAATCCGTAAAACACTTGAGATATGTGTTAAAATGAATTAAAGTATATGTAATTTGCTACAAAACTACTGTTAGAACCATGTATGTAGCGTGCTCCAATGGCGCTGCTATTTGACTATGCAACTAGCGACGTAACTTACCCAATAATATAGTATATAAGTTTTGTAACAAATTACATATACTTTAATTCATTTTAACACATATCTCAAGTGTTTTACGGATTTTTATTAACCTAAACTCATTTGTCTGGGTTTCCTAGGACTATTTTCACTGAATGCGATCTTTACAAATCTTTCTTTATTGTGTAGAATATTTTCTTTGTGTTTCTGAATGGCATCATCTGTAGTCCAGGGGCAGGGGTCAGGATTTGACGAGAACCGTTTCGATGGTCCTGTAAGCGAGAACTTCAAGTGCACGATATGTTTTAACGTCCTCAACGACCCGAAGAGTTGTCAGAACAACCAACATTACTTCTGTAGCGCGTGTATTCATCAATACGTACAAAATTACTCTCAGACTTGTCCTGAATGTCGACAGGAATTGACGGTGGAAACGTTGGTCACACCTCCCAGGATTTTGTTGAATTGTATTTCAGAACTTCCAATCAAATGTGATCACGTCGAACGAGGTTGTACCGCCAGAGTTCAACTTGAAAAACTTAAAAATCATCTCGATGAATGTGGTTTTGCTCCGGTTACGTGTGCGAATGATGGTTGTGACGCGGTTGTCAACAAACGAGACAGAATTCACCACGAGACTGAACTATGCGAGTTTCGCAGAGTGCAATGTCATAATTGCGAAGAATTGAGAAATGAGATGTCGAGATTGAGCGAGAAACAAGAAAATTTGAGCAAAACTACTGGTCAAAAACTAGTAAAGTTGGAAGGAAAGCTGGATCAAGTCACAACACGGCTTCAGACTATCGAAGGGAATGTTATGAGCAAAATTACCGGGTTAAATTTGGCACATGAACGAGGAAATGCGAGCGTTGTTCAGGAAATTAACGAGATCAAGGGTTTTATGAGCGATGTGTTGCATAAACTCAGTGATATCAACAATGTTGTCTGCCAAAACCAAGCCTCGGAAACCCAGGAGAAAGAAAATAATAAAAGAGGAGACGAACGAGTTGGTGGACTAGCCGTTGCTTTGGATGATAAGAAAGGAGACGAACGATTTGGTGGACTAACCGTTGCTTTGGATGATAAGAAAGATAGTTCTGCTGAAATAAAAAAAAATGATGAGCTGATGCAACACAGCAAAACACAGGTAAAATTGTTATAGACTGAAAGAGCTTTCATAATTTTTTTATTCTATGGTATTTTACTTTCCATTCAGGATTCTTCTGTTGGTGAAAGCCCGAAGTGCAATATTCCTGCCTGGTCGCCTAAAGATTATGATGGTAATGATAATTCTGACGATGTACCTCGGCCTTGGTATGTTCCAACACTCACACCGAGAAAAGAACGGTTTAGGCTTAATAAAAAAGGCCGCGCTGCCGACGCAGTCGTCGCTCAATCTTCGCCTAGATCCAAACCCAAAACGCACAGAAATATTGAAATAGGCATGCAAGTAGCTGTTAGTAGGCTCAATGGAAATCTGAGCGTCATAGGAACGGTTCGATATGTCGGAACTTTACCTCTTGACAGAGAGAAAATTTACGTTGGAGTCGAACTGGACTTTGCAAGTACGTTTTTTACATTTTTTATGTTTATTAGGAATGAAAAAATATCTCAGTAGCTTCTAAAGTTGAACGTGAATATTAACTTTCGCATTTAAACTTTTTCCTTGTAGACGGTGATAACGATGGCGTCTTTGATGGAAAACGATATTTCTGGTGGTAAGAATGATGAGTCTTAATATAATAATATATATTCAGTATTTAGACGGCCAAAAACCATGACCAGCCGACAATTTAAAAAAGTAAAGACTCCGAGAAAACCGAGAAAACCGGACATCTTGAGAGTCAAAATACGAGTCAAGCAAGACACAGGTTGAGTTAACAAAGTCCTCTTCAAGACTTCATTCTGTCTGAAAATGACTTTGGAATAAAGTCGAAAATTTACAGTCTCAACCTGTGTCTTGCTTGATTCATATTTTGACTCTCAATATGTCCTATTTGGAATCTTTTTTTTTTTACTTTACTATATCAGTATATTTCTTAACTAGTATTACCGTGTCTTTGGTCGATAAAATTAAGTATGTTGTGACCCTGGATGTTTTTGTTCAAGTTTTTTAAGTGCAATAATGCTTTTGATAAACTTTTTTCAGCCGACTGAATCATGGCGTTTTCTGTCCCATTGGTCATGTGACACCATTGTGATAACTATAGAACGTCAAGTATCGTATGAACTCTCTTCTATGAAATAAATCAGTTGTAAATTCTGGTAAAGTATCTCGGAAGAAGATGTGTGACGTAAATTTTTCAACAAGTAATCTTTCGCATGTTATAATTATTTTGATGATATCGATACAAACCAATCGATAAATATTGGCAATCAAGAGGAGTCGGTATAACAATCGATACTAAATACCAATGATGAAGTGTAATAGTTTTACAATGGATGATAATTAATTTTTTAAAGATTCCGTAAAAACGTGTGTGTTTTGTTTGCTCTGCATATATATTTGAAGATCAGTTGTATATTTTGGACAGCTTTGGGCTTTTAAACCGCGGTTCCTTGCCGCGTTCTTGGCTACATTGGAACGCATATTCAATTTCAAAATGCCCTTCCCGCTTTATATTTTCAAGCGATTGTTTTGAATTTGTAATTTGATACTCAGATGCAGAGTGAAATTTGGTATTCAAAATATCAAGTGAATATAAACATGCAACGAACTCTCCGAAGACACAAATCGACGCGAAAACGAAAGGACTTGAATTTGTTGCGATGTGTTCGCTTTGGAATTGAATTTCTCTCTTGGTAAGTGCGTATTTTCGCCATTATCATAACACATCCATCCATTAGTATCTTGCTGTCTTGCAATGTGTTTCCCTAAGGATAACTTTAGGCGATTAAAGCTTTAACACTTGCCGTTCGTCGGCGAATATTTTATTGTGAAGCAGGAAGTTCAACTTTGGTTAAATTTCGCGTTAGACTTAGTATAATAACGGTTGTGATAGTTTTCCTTATCCTTGAATTACTAAAGGAGTCGAGATTTAAAGCAGACAATCGCTTTTGAAGAATAATTTGATGTTATTTTGATTTCTGTAACGATTAACGAAATTGACAAATTGTTCGACAATGTAGCAATATTATTAGAACTTTACATTCACAAGCACATTGTCATTGAAAACCCGAACGATTCGTCGTTCTCTTTCTCTCATGGGCAAAATGCTACATATAGATATAGTACCATGCATAGTAGTTCTTGATATGCTCACCATTTAAAATAAAAAAACTGGTAAAATCCGTTTTAAAATTGTGCTGAAATTATGTCATACCATAGGCAGCGCAATGGCGAATGGTTTTATTTGAAGTGAAAATGTACACTTTGATGAAATTCACACATATGTCATTTATTTACATGCTAATATACTTAAATCCTGTTACTTACAACGGGCGACTTGCGTGTCTGACAAGGCAATGTAGGTAGCTATTATATAGATTATAGTATTATTATATACACAAGCGCCAGATATGCATGGGAGGTATGCTGCAATTTCATTGGTTGGCTACTAGACAAATATTAGCTGATATCTGTCTAGTAGAGAAAGTAAACAAAATGACTGAAAGATTTGGGGAGTTGAGTGAAATAGAAATCCAAGCTTTAGTTGATAATAGCACACCAAAATGCACCAAAAGGGCGACAAAGTTTGTGTATATAATAAAACAGTTATTCTGTTCACTCTCGTCGTATATGGCCGATAGCCAACTCGGCGCTACACGCCTCGTCGGCTATCAGCTCATATACGACTCGAGTTCGCAGAATAACTGTTAATTATAAGTAACAGGATTTAAGTATATTAGCATGTAAATAAATGACACATGTGTGAATTTCATCAAAGAGTACATTTTTAAATCAAATAAAACCATTCGCCATTGGGCTTCCTATGGTGACACAATCAACCTAAATTTTGCTATCTTCATTTGAATTCAAATTTTGACTATACTACATACTAGAGATTTAAAACTGGTCGCCTCAAATTCATTTGTCGAAACACCTTTTAAAACTTGGTTTTTTCGTTCTTAATAACAAACAGAATTGATAAAAAAGAGATTAATCTGAGTCGACCAGTTTTAAATTATAGTTGTTTTAACGAACTATTTTCACTGAATGCAATCTTTACAAATCTTTCCTTATTGTTTAGAAGATCTATTTGTGTTTCTGAATGGCATCATCTGTAGTCCAGGGGTCAGGATTCGACGAAAACCGTTTCGATGGTCCTGTAAGCGAGAACTTTAAATGCACGATATGTTTTAACGTCCTCAACGACCCGAAGAGCTGTCAGAACAACCAACATTATTTCTGCAGCGCGTGTATTCATCAATACGTTCAAAATTACTCCCAGACTTGTCCTGAATGTCGACAGGAATTGACGGTGGAAACGTTGGTCACACCTCCCAGGATTTTGTTGAATTGTATTTCAGAACTTCGCATCAAATGTGATCATGTCGAACGAGGTTGTGCCGCTAGAGTTCAACTTGAAAAACTTAAAAATCATCTTGATGAATGTGGCTTTGCTCCGGTTACGTGTGCGAATGATGGTTGCAACGCGATTGTCAACAAACGGGACAGAATTCACCACGAGACTGAACTATGCGAGTTTCGCAGAGTGCAATGTCATAATTGCGAAGAATTGAGAAGTGAGATGTCGAGATTGAGCGCGAAACAAGAAAATTTGAGTAAAACTGCTGGCGAAAGGCAAGTAAAGTTGGAAGGAAAGTTAGATCAAATCACAACACGGCTTCAGACTATCGAAGGGAATGTTATGGGCAAAATTACCGGGTTAAATTTGGCACATGAACGAGGAAATGTGAGCGTTGTTCAGGAAATTAACGAGATCAAGAGTTTTATGAGCGATGTGTTGCATAAACTCAGTGATATCAACAATGTTGTCTGCCAAATGCAAGCCTCGGGAAGCCAGGAGAAAGGAAAAAATCGTAAAGAAGACGAACGAGTTGGTGAACCGATCGTTGCTTTGGGTGATAAGGAAGAAATATTTGCTGCACTAGAAAGGCAAAACCTGCAAGAGAACCTGCTATCGTTGGAAAAGGTGCAACAAAAAAAAGCACAGGTAGAACGGTTTTATAGACTGAAAGAGCTATCATAGATTTTTTATTCTGGTGTTATACTTTCCATTTAGGCAGAATCTCTTCGTGAAAGCCGCAAGGGCACTACTGGGAAAAGCGAGGAACCATCTGTTCTCGATGGGCCGCCTGTTCTGGAAGATTATTATAGTGACGAAGATGATAATTCAGACGACGATTCTCGGAATGTTTTAGCAAAACTTTCAGCGAAAGAACGAAAAGAAACACCGATAAAAGATAACGAAAATGGCGCCGGAAATTTTAAGCCAATTGCCGGCGCTGCCGTCGCTCAATCTTCGCTTAGATCCACTCCTCTGAAAAGCAAACTATTTAACCCTAAGAAGAGTAAAAAGATTAAAAAAGGCACGCAAGTGATAGTTCGGCTCAATATCAATAATCATGTTCGGAAAAAGCTAGGAATGGTTCAATATGTCGGAACTTTACCTTTTGACAGAAAGAAAACTCATGTTGGAGTCGAACTGTACTCTGCAGGTACGTTTTTTACATTTTTTACGTTTATTAGAAACGAAGAATATATCAGTAGCTTCTAAAGTTGAACCTGAATATTAACTTTTGCATTTAAACTTTTTCTTTATAGACGGTGATAACGATGGCGTGTTTGATGGGAAACGATATTTCAAGTGGTAAGAATGACGAGTTTTAATATATTTATAATATATTTTTTCAAAGCTTGTTTGTACTACCATTGTATATTAGCATGTGTCCTTGGTCGCCAATAGAATTAGCTGTCTGTGCGACCCTTGATGTTTTTGTTTAAGTTTTTCAAGTGCAGTAATGCTTTTGATAAACCTTTTTCAGCCGACCGAATCATGGCGTTTTCTGTCCCATTGATGATGTGACACCACTAGCTTTTCCCACCACAAAAAAAGGTGTACGCAAAGATTTCGAATTATGAGAAATCAGTTGTGATTTCTGGTAAAGTATCTCGGAAAAAGATGCATTCGGACACGTGTGTCCTAAATTTTTCTAGAACATTTAACATTTTGTTTATTATGTACATCAATGTAAACCAATCGATAAATATTGGCAATCAAGAGCAGTCGATATAACCATGGCCAGAAAATTCGGACATAGTTAACATTCTACTTCCGCTGAAATTTGCATATGGTGTCAAAATAAAGCTTCGTGAGTTTATAGTAAACTGTAATGTGCACAGTACTAAACGCTAAAAATACACCTTTAGGTAGGTCGATTATAATTTGCCTTAATTGCTCGTTGCAGAGCAAGTTAATCTTAATATTTTTATATAGTATTTCAAAATGTTTTATCAATATTCGTTCTGCATTTTCAAAACAAAGTTTTGGTCATTTATCACGTTGAATACCATATAAAACGAAAACCGTAATAGCGTAGAAATAAAATAAAAATGCAGAGCCGACATAAACCTTTGCCAGCAAAATATTACCTCAGGATCTTCAATATGACACGAGTTACAAGAAACAACCAGGGCAAATAGCAAAGATGCAATGATTTTCTTAAATTTTGCAAAATTTAAGAATGCGCAATATAATTTATAGTTCTGCAAACGAATAATATTTGAACAGATATGCAAATTTGCTACGGCAATCTGCATATTCCATGTCCGCAATTTCTGGCCATGCAATGCTCGTCAGATTATCGTCTATCGAACAATCGATACTATATACAAATGATGAAGTGTAATAGTTTTACAATCGATGATAATTGATTTTTGAAAGATTCCGTAAAAACGTGTGTGTGTTTTGTTTGCTCTGCATATATTTGAAGATTAGTTGTATATTTTAGACAGCTTTAAACTTTTAAACCGCGGTTCCTTGTCGTTCTTGGCTACATTGGAACGCATATTCAATTTTCAAAATGCCCTTCCCGCTTTATATTTTCAAGCGATTGTTTTGAATTTGTAATTTGATACTCAGAGGCAGAGTGAAATTTGGTATTTAAAATATCAAGTGAATATAAACATGCGAGGATTTCTCCGAAGACACAAATCGACGCGAAAACGAAAGGGCTTGAATTTGTGGCGATGTGCTCGCTTTGGAATTGAATATCTCTCTTGGTAAGTGCGTATTTTCGCCATTATCATAACACATCCATCCCCAGCAGTGTCTTGCTATCTTGCAGTGTGTTTTCCTAAGAATAGCTTTAGGCGATTAATGTTTAAACACTCAGCGTTCGTCAGTTTATATTTTATTGAAAAGTCGGAAGTTTAAACTTTGATTAATTAAATTTCGTCTTAGACTTAGCATAGCGATCTCATAATTTTCTCAACCTCAGAATTACTAAAGTGAGTCAAGATTTAAAGTAGACAATGGTCGTTTTCACACTAGCGACGCAGAGACGCATAATGCGTCTGGACGCATCTTCAATATTTTTTGACTGGTTTTTCGTCTTCAGTATAAAGACGGACAACAGACGCATTATCCGTCTAGACAAACTATCGTTGGTTATGCGTCTCTGAGACGAAAAACTGAACATTAATCGCCTAGACGTATCATGCGTCTGTTTTCCGTCTTTATACTGAAGACGAAAAACCAGTCAAAAAATATTGAAGACGCATGCATTATGCACGCGTCCAGACGCATTTTGTGGTTATTTTGACCCCTGTAACGAAATTGTTCGACAATGTAATATTATTATTATTAGAACTTCGCATACAAACACATTGAATACCTAAAATAATTTTGTGAACGGTCTTTGGTTCTTCCATCTGCAAAATTTAAATTAGAAATTTGTTTATTAAATTCCGTTTAAAATTTTATCTTGTATACATATATGTCACCCTGTTTATTACCATTCCTGCATTGCGAACAAGAATTCGCCTGGTTGATCTTGACAAATTTGGCTTTGGCTTTGTTCTGTAGATAATCTCTGCATTCTAAATGGCATCATCTGTAGTCCAGGGGGCAGGATTCGACGAGAACCGTTTCGATGGTCCTGTAAGCGATAACTTCAAATGCACGATATGTTTTAACGTCCTCAACGACCCGAAGAGCTGTCAGAAGAACCAACATTACTTTTGCAACGCGTGTATCCATCAATACGTTCAAGATTACTCCCAGACTTGTCCTGAATGTCGACAGGAATTGACGGTGGAAACGTTGGTCACACCTCCCAGGATTTTGTTGAATTGTATTTCAGAACTTCGCATCAAGTGTGATCACGTCAAACGAGGTTGTGCCGACCGAATTCAACTTGGAAAACTTCAAAATCATCTCGAAGAATGTGGCTTTGCTCCGGTTACGTGTGCAAATGATGGTTGTGACGCGGTTGTCAACAAACGAGACAGAATTCACCACGAGACTGAACTATGCGAGTTTCGCAGAGTGCAATGTCATGATTGCGAAGAATTGAGAAATGAGATGTCGAGATTGAGCGAGAATTTGTGTAAAACTACTGCTGAAAGGCAAGCAAAGTTGGAAGGAAAGCTAGATCAAGTCACAGCACGGCTTCAGACTATCGAAGGGAGTGTGTACGCGTTCAATATCGCACAGAGCAGTGAAAATGCGAGACTTGTTCAGGAAATTTTCGAGATCAAGGATGTTATGAACGATATGTTATATAAACTGAGCAATATCAACAATGTTGTCTGCCAAATCCAAGCCTCGGAAAAGCAGAAGAAGCAAAAAAATGATGAAGAAGACGCACAGGTCGAGGAAATGACTGTTACAACACTGAAGCAACGGTGGAACGAGCCTAAAGAAGAGAAGAAAGTGGTTGAAAAGAAAACACAAGAATTGAGAAGTAATGATACCTGTAATGAGGTTGGTTGGCTCTACTGGACCTCTAGGAACAGTTTAGAACTGATAGAGTTATCCAGTATAAATAAAGTTAGCTTAGTTTAGGTTTCCTCCTGCAGTAACACTGGATCAATAAGAGATGATCCTTACTGGACCTCTAGGAAGAACAGTTTAGAACTGATAGAGTTATCCAGTATAAAAAGTTAGCTTAGTTTAGGTTTCCTCCTGCAGTAACACTGGATCAATAAGAGATGATCCTTACTGGACCTCTAGGAAGAACAGTTTAGAACTGATAGAGTTATCCAGTATAAATAAAGTTAGTTTAGTTTAGGTTTCCTCCTGTAGTAACACTGGATCAATAAGAGATTACCCTTACTGGACCTCTAGGAAGAAGAGTTTAGAACTGATAGAGCTATCCAGTATAAATAAAGTTAGTTTAGTTTAGGTTTCCTCCTGTAGTAACACTGGATCAATAAGAGATGATCCTTACTGGACCTCTAGGAAGAACAGTTTAGAACTGATAGAGCTATCCAGTATAAATAAAGTTAGTTTAGTTTAGGTTTCCTCCTGTAGTAACACTGGATCAATAAGAGATGATCCTTACTGGATCTCTAGGAAGAACAGTTTAGAACTGATAGAGCTATCCAGTATAAATAAAGTTAGTTTAGTTTAGGTTTCCTCCTGTAGTAACACTGGATCAATAAGAGATGATCCTTACTGGACCTCTAGGAAGAACAGTTTAGAACTGATAGAGCTATCCAGTATAAATAAAGTTAGTTCAGTTTAGGTTTCCTCCTGTAGTAACACTGGATCAATAAGAGATGATCTTTACTGGACCTCTAGGAAGAACAGTTTAGAACTGATAGAGCAGTTAGAGCTATCCAGTATAAATAAAGTTAGTTCAGTTTAGGTTTCCTCCTGTAGTAACACTGGATCAATAAGAGATGATCTTTACTGGACCTCTAGGAAGAACAGTTTAGAACTGATAGAGCTATCCAGTATAAATAAAGTTAGTTTAGTTTAGGTTTCCTCCTGTAGTAACACTGGATCAATAAGAGATGATCCTTACTGGATCTCTAGGAAGAACAGTTTAGAACTGATAGAGCTATCCAGTATAAATAAAGTTAGTTTAGTTTAGGTTTCCTCCTGTAGTAACACTGGATCAATAAGAGATGATCCTTACTGGACCTCTAGGAAGAACAGTTTAGAACTGATAGAGCTATCCAGTATAAATAAAGTTAGTTTAGTTTAGGTTTCCTCCTGTAGTAACACTGGATCAATAAGAGATGATCCTTACTGGACCTCTAGGAAGAACAGTTCAAAACTGATAGAGCTATCCAGTATAAATAAAGTTAGTTTAGTTTAGGTTTCCTCCTGTAGTAACACTGGATCAATAAGAGATGATCCTTACTGGACCTCTAGGAAGAACAGTTTAGAACTGATAGAGCTATCCAGTATAAATAAAGTTAGTTTAGTTTAGGTTTCCTCCTGTAGTAACACTGGATCAATAAGAGATGATCCTTACTGGACCTCTAGGAAGAACAGTTTAGAACTGATAGAGCTGTCACAGATTTTTTGATTTTACTGTTTTATTTACCATTCAGTACAAATCTCTTGGTGAAAGCTCTGAGGGCACTACCAAGGAAAGCATGGAGCCTCCTCTTTATCCTAAAATGCAGGAGTTTTCTAAAAGGGAATCTCTGTCTGAGAACGATGAATCAGATGGCGAATCTTCGTCTGTCTCATGTGACGAATCTTTGACTGCTTCAGGCAGAACCGCGTACAATAAAGAAGAAAAAACGTTGATGGAAAACAAAACAGATGACAGTGATGATCGGCACGGTTCAACCGACACCGGAGCAATGGATTCCAACAATATAGGATGCCAACAAAATCCGGAGGATTGTATTTTAGAAGATTTCAACCCGAATCACTTCGCTTGTTTCGAGGGAAGCTCAACTCGTAGGAAAGGCTCGCTATCCGCACCGCTTAGCAATGGTGAAGGGGTTAAATTAGGCACAAAAGTGCTGGTTTGGCTCAATAAAGGCTATAGATCCACTGGAATAGTTCGATATGTTGGAACTTTACCTCCGCCAATAGCGAAGATTTGCGTTGGAGTAGAACTCTATTTTGGAGGTACTTTCTAGTTCATACTTCTTCGATTATATTTTTGTGATGTTAAAAGTATTTCATTCGACGCTATGATTAAAAAAATACACAGTTTCCTACTAAAGTTGTGTCTGAATATTAACTTATGCAATTAAACGTCTTCCTTGTAGTCGGTGAAAACGATGGCGTGTTTAATGGGCAACGATATTTCCAGTGGTAAGACTGCAGTGAGTTTTAATATATCAGGGGTCGGTTGTATCAAGCCCGTTTAACTTGAACGGTGGATAAGTTCAAAATAGAAATCAAGTCTATCGTTTTATTCAACAAGCAAACAAAATGTTTTTAGCCTTAGTACAAAGATACTGTTTACAACTACATATTCAGTGAATAATATTCAAGTTGACTCATTCAAGAGAGATGTAAGTGTGTTATTTAGTTTTGACTTATCCACCGTTTAAGCTAAACGGGCTTGATATACAACCAGCCCCAGGTTTTTTAGGCATGTTTATATTACCACCGTATTACCATAACTCCGTGTCGTTGGTCGATAGACCATGGATGTTTTTCATAGCTAATTTTAAGAATTTCTTATCGCCGTACATATTATCACAATAGTATAGTGGAGAGGGGGACATGATAAAAACAGTCCTAACTGGAAATCGATGATTTGAAGATGGGGAAACTGCAGGGGTCTGCAGGACCTCTTGCGGAAAATTTTCTGTATTTTTGAGTCCCTATGACTTCATTTCCAGCATTTGAAGGGACAATTACTTAGTGGTCTGTTGAGAAAACACCATTTATCACTGCACATTTCTCATTTTATCACTGCACATTCTACTTTTATCACTGCACAAATTGGTTATCACTGCACACTAAAATTAGGTATGATGTTTTTATTCAATATGGCCATAATGCTTTTGATCAACCTTTTTCAGTCAACCGAAGCATGGCGTTTTTCGTCCCATTGATAAAGTGACACCGATAAAGCGAAACGTATACATTGATGTGTCGTTTGAGCCTTCTTCGAAGAAATAAATCAGTTGTAGTTTCTGGTAAAGTATATTCCGGAAAAAGATGTGTCCTAAATTGTTCAACAACAAGTAATCTTTCGCAAATTATATTTTGATGACATCGAAATAACTCTGACCAATCATTAATGGATATTGGTAATGAAAATCACTCGGTATAACAATGTTCGTGATTATCGGCGATTGAACAATCGATACTAGATACCAATGATGAAATGTAATAGTTTTACAATCGATGATAATCGTGTTTTGTTTGCTCTGCATATATTTGAAGATTTTTGTTAATTTTAGACTGCTTTGAGATTCTAAACCACGTTTCGTTTTATAAGAAGCTCTTGAAAGAAGTTTCCCGCTGCTCTCTACCTTTGGTAATATAAAAACAATACCCTCGAAATATAGCATAAAGCAACGTACTTTTTTCACAATAATGGTAAGGCTGACTTTTATTCAAAACTTGCTAACTCTGTTTACATTCATCAGACTTGATAAACCAATTTACAATCAAAGTCTTCATACAAACACAGAAATTAACTAGATTTTCATAAGTCATTAGTCGTTACCACATTAATTATCAATTTCTAATCTACCTGCATTTCTAACTAGGATGAACTATTGTATTGTCTTAAATTTTCAGGTATGAAATCAGTTTATATTTGAATTACTACGCTTTGCTGCCCATTCAAACGAGTTGCTCAGAGAATTAATACTGTCACTTGTATTTTTAATTCATCAAAAATACAGCATAATTTGTACTGTTTTTCTTTGTTATTCAGGAAAAAATAACTTAATTTGGTTGTAACAATGTTGTTACAACGAGTTAACCTAAGTTGTAAATAAAAGTTGTATAGAAATGCTAGTTGTAACCATATTTTGGGGTGAAGAACAGCATCTTTCAACTCAAATCAATTAGTTACAATTTCCATGCAACTAACTGAATTGAAGAATCTTCAACAATTGAGAATTATTTAGCTTAATGTTCATGCAGAATAACTCGTTTGAATTTGGCCAATGGACGACTTGCGCTTTAGACTAATTTCTTACCTCGGCAATAAAAAGGACATTTTCTGAAAGATCTTACTTAAATTAGTGCAAATGCAAAGTTTGGCTGCGAAATTTTGTAAAATACGGAAAATATAGCCACGCGAAGTTGTCGATTTTTGTATACTTTTGTATTACGTGCGGAAATGTGTAACTAAATTAGTTACACGCTTCCGGTCGTAATACAAAAGTATACAAAATTTGCCAACTTCGCGTGGCTATATTTTCCGTATTTTACAACATTTTGCAGCCAAACTTTGCATTTGCACTAATTTAAGTAAGATCTTTCTAGCTGCCATGATTTATTTTCTTCTAGTTACTTCGATCAAAAATTAGTTTAAAGCGCAAGTCGTCCATTAGTTTTCAGTCAAGTTATCATTAGTGATGGCAGTTAATTTGGTGTTTTATATACTAAGTTTTATGCATAGATTATTACGTTTTATGATATGGAAGATTATCCAAAAGGCATTAAACTCGAGATTTAGCAAAACTGAGGACTTTTTGAAAAACACTCAAAATTGTAGCTGCAGGTTGGGCGCCTGAGAATTGCTGGGTGCGAGCCTGATTGGACTTCAAGAATATACTAAAATGGGGGACTCCGTTGATGCCACTAGCGCTTGCGGTCGCAGCCTCTCTTTTGACACGTGACATCACATCGGCATTCTTCATGTGGGTATCAGCTGCTGACCAGTCAATACCACAGGCCTCGGCAGCTTCTTGCAATACGTCTGAGTGGTCAATTCTCTTGGCATGACGAAAGTAATCGTTGAACAGGATCTCAGCCAGTTCATTTTGCTTTGAGACCGATTTGGCATAATCCAAGAGGCAATGAGATTTGAGGGTGTTGACAATCATACGATCATAGTTGAATTTTAAACCCTGAAGAATTATATCCAGAATTATCAATATTGAGTTCCTATTTTATACAGGTGGAAACCTAAACTAAACTAACTTTATTTATACTTGATAGCTCTATCAGTCCTAAACTGGTCTTCCTAGAGGTCCAGTAAGGATCATCTCTTATTGATCCAGTGTTACTACAGGAGGAAACTTCAACTAAACTAACTTTATTTATACTGGATAGCTCTATCAGTTCTAAACTGTTCTCCCTAGAGGTCCAGTAAGGATCATCTCTTATTGATCCAGTGTTACTACAGGAGGAAACCTAAACTAAAGTAACTTTATTTATACTGGATAGCTCTATCAGTTCTAAACTGTTCTTCCTAGAGGTCCAGTAAGGATCATCTCTTATTGATCCAGTGTTACTACAGGAGGAAACCTAAACTAAACTAACTTTACACCAAACTGACCATTTTCTCAGCCATTTGAGATAAAGGCCCTTTTCCACTTCGTGCACTTTCAGCCGCTTGTGGCCCATACTTCCTGCCAAGATATTCGAGAACTGGAACTCCTTCGTCAGGTGTAGAAGAATTAAGAAAGAACGGCAGCCAATTCACTTCAAAGGAAACATCTCCAGAGAAACCCTCCATGGCTTCTTCAAGGTGACGTTTCCCCACCCAACACCTGCATTCAAAGATTCAAAGATTACGATGCTCTGTCTAATGTCAGATGATTTTACTCATCAGTGGAAGAGTACTGTCAGTTAATAAGTTAACAAAACTATCTGTCAGTGTCTCTTGTTAACCCATTAGCTTGCAATGCACCCAGATATGGTCTACTTTAGTATTTTACTCTGTCTAATGTCAGATGATTTTACTCATCAGTGGAAGAATACTGTCAGTTAATAAGGTAACAAAACTATCTGTCAGTGTCTCTTGTTAACCCCCATTAGCTTGCAATGCACCCAGATGTGACCTACTTAAGTATTTTACTCTGTCTAATGTCAGATGATTTTACTCATCAGTGGAAGAGTACTGTCAGTTAATAAGTTAACAAAACTATCTGTCAGTGTCTCTTGTTAACCCATTAGCTTGCAATGCACCCAGATATGGTCTACTTTAGTATTTTACTCTGTCTAATGTCAGATGATTTTACTCATCAGTGGAAGAATACTGTCAGTTAATAAGGTAACAAAACTATCTGTCAGTGTCTCTTGTTAACCCCCATTAGCTTGCAATGCACCCAGATGTGACCTACTTAAGTATTTTACTCTGTCTAATGCCAGATGATTTTACTCATCAGTGGAAGAGTATTGTCAGTTAATAAGTTAACAAAACTATCTGTCAGTGTCTCTTGTTAACCCATTAGCTTGCAATGCACCCAGATGGTCTGACCTACTTTAGTATTTTACTTTGTCTAATGTCAGATGATTTTACTCATCAGTGGAAGAGTACTGTCAATTAATAAGTTAACAAAACTATCTGTCAGTGTCTCTAGTTAACTCATTAGCTTGCAATGCACTCAGATGTGACCTACTTTAGTATTTTACTCTGTCTAATGTCAGATGATTTTACTCATCAGTGGAAGAGTACTGTCAGTTAATAAGTTAACAAAACTATCTGTCAGTGTCTCTTGTTAACCCATTAGCTTGCAATGCACCCAGATGTGACCTACTTTAGTATTTTACTTTGTCTAATGTCAGATGATTTTACTCATCAGTGGAAGAGTATTGTCAGTTAATAAGTTAACAAAACTATCTGTCAGTGTCTCTTGTTAACCCATTAGCTTGCAATGCACCCAGATGTGACCTACTTTAGTATTTTACACTGTCTAATGTCAGATGATTTTACTCATTAGTGGAAGAGTACTGTCAGTTAATAAGTTAACAAAACTATCTGTCAGTGTCTCTTGTTAACCCATTAGCTTGCAATGCACCCAGATATGGTCTACTTTAGTATTTTACTCTGTCTAATGTCAGATGATTTTACTCATCAGTGGAAGAGTACTGTCAGTTAATAAGTTAACAAAACTATCTGTCAGTGTCTCTTGTTAACCCATTAGCTTGCAATGCACCCAGATGTGACCTACTTTAGTATTTTACTCTGTCTAATGTCAGATGATTTTACTCATCAGTGGAAGAGTACTGTCAGTTAATAAGTCAACAAAACTATCTGCCAGTGTCTCTTGTTAACCCATTAGCTTGCAATGCACCCAGATGTGACCTACTTTAGTATTTTACACTGTCTAATGTCAGATGATTTTACTCATCAGTGGAAGAGTACTGTCAGTTATTAAGTTAACAAAACTATCTGTCAGTGTCTCTTGTTAACCCATTAGCTTGCAATGCACCCAGATGTGACCTACTTTAGTATTTTACTTTGTCTAATGCCAGATGATTTTACTCATCAGTGGAAGAGTAGTGTCAGTTAATAAGTTAACAAAACTATCTGTCAGTGTCTCCTGTTAACCCATTAGCTTGCAATGCACCCAGATGTGACCTACTTTAGTATTTTACTCTGTCTAATGTCAGATGATTTTACTCATCAGTGGAAGAGTATTGTCAGTTAATAAGTTAACAAAACTATCTGTCAGTGTCTCCTGTTAACCCATTAGCTTGCAATGCACCCAGATATGGTCTACTTTAGTATTTTACTCTGTCTAATGTCAGATGATTTTACTCATCAGTGGAAGAGTATTGTCAGTTAATAAGTTAACAAAACTATCTGTCAGTTGCTCTTGTTAACCCATTAGCTTGCAATGCACCCAGATATGGTCTACTTTAGTATTTTACTCTGTCTAATGTCAGATGATTTTACTCATCAGTGGAAGAGTACTGTCAGTTAATAAGTTAACAAAACTATCTGTCAGTGTCTCCTGTTAACCCATTAGCTTGCAATGCACCCAGATATGGTCTACTTTAGTATTTTACTCTGTCTAATGTCAGATGATTTTACTCATCAGTGGAAGAGTACTGTCAGTTAATAAGTTAACAAAACTATCTGTCAGTGTCTCTTGTTAACCCATTAGCTTGCAATGCACCCAGATGTGACCTACTTTAGTATTTTACTCAGTCTAATGTCAGATGATTTTACTCATCAGTGGAAGAGTACTGTCAGTTAATAAGTTAACAAAACTATCTGTCAGTGTCTCTTGTTAACCCATTAGCTTGCAATGCACCCAGATGTGACCTACTTTAGTATTTTAAGATGGAAAACCTCAAATTTCCCCTACGGGAGGAAAGATTTCAGTGAATATTAAAAATTACGAGTTTTAAATAAACCATTCCTTACCAAGGTCATATGGTATCAGAAGTTACATTAACGACAATGCAAGGTTTGTCCTCTGCCATCGATAAATCGTTTCAAAAATGCCCTTTTTCGATGCAAATTTCGAGATGAAATATTCTGGCGTCTTGCAAAAAATTATGCCAATGTTTACACTTTGCATTCTCCAAATTCGAAATTACGTCATGATATACAGATCGGTCATTCTCCAGTTTATATTGAAGATCAGTGGTGGATTGGATTAAGTAGTGGATTAAATGGATTAAAG